CACAGGATAGCAGAAGGATGGCTTGCTTGTTTTGTGTGATCTTGAAGGATCTTCTTTAATCTGTCTGGCCTGTCCTTTGAAGGTATAATGCACTAGCTTCTCTTCTGGAAAGCTCACTGTATGCCTGCCGTGTCAGGCATTCCTGACATGCTTTTCCTTTTTCCTTTTTAATTGTTCTGTAATTCTAATTCAAGTAATTTATTTTTAGTGGTGCGGTAAAAGGCCCTTGCTCAAGGGAGCAGGGGTCTGGAAAAGAGAAAAACCTCCTTTCTGGGATATGACCCACACTGCTTTCATGCAGAGGACATTCCTCATAGTGCTGCTGCCAGACCAGGGCAGTACTCGCTCCCCTTCCTCTGAGGATGTCATTTGACTTCAGTTGAAGGGAAGACTGAGAAATCAGGTAGAAGTAGATCTAACTTACGAATCACAGAGAACTGAAAAAATGGTTGATAGGTTCTAAAGGCTTTCTGAGTCAATATAGTGCTGCTGCTATATATTAGAAGTAGTATTTTATATTTTTGTAATATTTGGTCCCTGCTGATGTTCTCCAGTGGATATACTGAGAGGATTGGCTCCTCTGATGTCCAGGGGGGGATCCCTTCTGGGAACCCTCGGATCTGCAGAAGAGGAGGCTCCCGGAGGTGCTGGGTGCTGGAGGGAGTTGGCATCGTCGTTGCCATCAGTTTGCCACACAGACGTGCTTAGAGAGAGAATCCTGGTGCGGGAAGCACGGCCTTTGGTACAAACCCCCAAAGGCTGTGCTCTGGTCAGGAGAAAGGACCTTGTACTATAAACTGCCTGATGTCTCCCCCAGTTTCCTCTGTGGACTATTACAGATTGGCCCAGATCTGGGGACGTGTCTCCTGCCCTGTGTAGACCCCTCGGTGGAGTGGCTTTTCTGTACTGGCTCGCAAAGGATTCTTCCTCCTGCACCCATCGTGTTAACTGGCTGTTGAAGTAAGTGCCTGTGTCAAAGCAAACTGCTGTGCTCAACCCTAGCAGCTCCATGTCTTGTACATGCTGAAAAAACTCTCTCTTCAAAAAGTATTTTTATTAAGAATGCAATAAATATATAACACTTTTAACACAGCTGCTGTTGAGTCGTTTGTTTCTCTCCTGTAATTTCTGAACTGGTAACAAGCCCGTCGCGGATACCGGGTCTCCTGGAGGCACTCAGCGTCGGGGAGCTGAGGCAGGGTTTGTGGGTGCAGCACCCCGGGGATGTCTTCCTGGGCTGGGGGCAGCTCTCTTGCACGGCGTCTCCTGCCCTGGCTCAGGCTCAAATCTTGATTTGCGAAAAGCTGGTGGCCTTTTCCCTGCGGGGCTCTGCCCTGGCAGGACGTCAGCGGAGCATCCCCGGGGCCAGCTGGAGGGTGAACGACGGAGGGCCCAGCGGGCAGGGGGGGAGGCATGGGGTAAATTGGGGGGGGGGCTGGGGGGGCAGAGGCCTGAGAGCCTCCCTCCAGCTGCGGGGCTCTCCTCGCTGTCTCTCCTGGCTGCTCCATTCCCCTCCTGGGGAGGAATGGTCCCAGCTGCCAAAAAATACCTCGACGTTTTTCTGGGCATGCTTACCGGCCCATCCCAAACCTTGGCAGTTTGGTGTCCTGAGTGGGCTGTGGCTTAGATGAGGATGGTTTTTTGCTGCTAGCTAGAAGAGCTGTGGGAAAGGCGGCCCTGTGGAGCAAGGAGCTGTGCCTCCAACAACCACGGGGTTGATTCAAGCCCCAGTAGCTGCACGTGGGTTATAGATGGTCTCTTGGGGCAGTGGCTGGTCCCTGAGTAGCCTGGGCTGAGTCTATGGCGGTCTTGAGCCTGGCTCGTCCCAGGCACAGGACATGAAAGACCCGATTTGGAGCTGGTGGCAATGCCTGCCTGCAGGAACGGGAGCAGCTCTGGGTGGCTGGCTCTGCCCCAGCGGTGGTCCCAACCCTCCTCTTCCTCTGGGGATCGGCGTCCCTCGGGAAACCCGCAGTGCAAGCGTGCAGTACCTTGTGTCGGCCTAACCCTGCCTGGCCTGGGCATCCAAACCGAGGGAGCTGCCATGCCTCGATTCAGCTTGGCTGTTTGGCATCAGGAGGGGGACTTCCCCTCACAGGAAGGGTTTCTTCAGGACGTGAGCGCTTCGGCCTGGGGAAGATATGTCAGCGAAGGCAGACTGGTACAACCTCTTCTCCTCAGCAGGCAGGGGTGGAGCGACTTCCTCTGTCCTCAGGGAATTGCCTGCCTCTAACCCGTGGCGTGCAGCAGCATGAGGTGTCTTAGATGGACAGGTGGAGTTTGGGTTTTATGCAATCCTTTGTAACCCGTGTCATTTGTGCCCCTGGGGTCGCATTCGCTGGAACCCAGGATGTGGGTGATCTCAGCCCCATTTACCTCGGGGAAGTATCCCAGATGGAAAGCTTCCTCTCAGAGCGTAAACCAGTTACCAACAGCCAGCAGCTGTGAAGAAACGTGTTTGTGACTGGATTATTCCATGACTGCCTGTTAAGGGCTTTCTTCACGCCTCCGGGTGAAATCGGCAGCGCCAGTCGCTGCAGGATGCTGGGTGGGAGCGGGCGGCTGAGCAGCGTGCTGCAAGGCTGCTGCAAGGCTGCTGCAGGGCTGCTGCAGGGCTGCTGCAGGGCTGCTGCAAGGCTGCAGGGCTGCTGCAGGGCTGCTGCAGGGCTGCAGCTCGCACCCTCCTGCCTGCGCTCTCCTCCCAGCTCCCCACCGTTCTGGGAGCAGCTTGGAGCCGCAGGACACGGGCAGCAGAGCTGAAGGATGCTCTCGGGCAGATACTTGGAGGGGTTTAGAGGCAGGAGGAGAGCAAATGGGAAAAGGATGCTCATGCTTAATAAAAGACTTCGTAATAAAAGTGAGCCCGGGTGGGAATAGTTAACCAGGCTCTCCCATTCCCATGCAAAGTGGTGTTTTTTAGAGACTTTTCTAAATCTCGCTGACAAATGCAGTTTGCTGGGAATGCACCAGATTGTCCTGCCACTGTCCTGTGAACTCCTCGGTGCCACTGGCTGTGGGGATGTGGGTCCTGTATGTTGTTTTAAGGAGCCGTGAGCGACCCTCAGGGTGATCACTCTTTGGAGGTAACTGGGCTCCTTCGCAGGGGCGGCCTGATCTTGTCGTTGCTGTGGCCAATGTTTGGGCAGAGCAGCTGCAGAGTCTCTCCTTAGCTGGCACTAGGAAGCATCCTGGCATTTTGCTCGGACTGGGGAGAGCATCCTCCGGGATCTCCTGTGCTGCAGGCCATCAGGCTGACCGCAGCACGTTGCTGTGTATCTCCCAGCTGGCTGAATGCCTGATACACCTTTTGTGGAGTGATTGCTGACACCCAGAAGCGACAGCCTGGCTGTGTGCCGTTGCAGGACCTGCTTCCCACCACACCGGTCCAGGCTCCTCAAATACACAGACCGGTGGTTTGAAAGGTCCTGTGTTTTGTGATGAAAAGTAAAATAAGAGTTAACAAAAGCCAATGTTCGGCTAATTTTGTCAGTGCCAGAGCCTGCTTTTTAAATAATTACTGAAGATTGCGGAGCATCCTGGGTAGCACGCATTAGGAAAAATACAGCTGGTTGCATGCACGTGCACGGTTGTTTAACATTAAAACCAGAATTGCTGGAGCCTTGGGCAGTCTGAGACACCGCAGACTCGTTTTCTGTGTTTTGCAGGAGGCTTCACCAAGTTTGTGACCTTGTGTGTGGGGGTTGGTGTGATCACGTGCAGGTGGGCTCGTGTCTTTATCTGTGCAGGCACATGGCTGGAGAAGCGGAGAGCATTCAAGGAAAAATTGATAGATTTCTTAAGCCGAAGAAAAACCTCTGAGCTATAAGGGAACGTCTGGGCAAGGACTAGTAGCAGCAGATGTCAGAGGAGGCATTTGCTGCTCGCCTTCGTTAATCTTACTGCAGCAGGGAGTGCTGAATAATAGAGGCAAATGGCCTGAGGAAAAAAAAAAAAAAAAAAAATCTTTTAGCTGTGAACTGTTCAGATCTGCTTTTGGGTCTGCACATACCATGACCTGGTCCTTGGTGGGTGTTACGAGCTCGTGTTGGGGGCAGCTGGAACTAGTATTGCCAAGCCTTTTTTGTGTCCTCTAGCAAGAACACAAGGTGTGTGAGAGCAAATAATATGATCCTAGCTGTGGATCTCTGTATTACCAAGTTGCGCAGAGAGCCAGTTGCTTGGAGTGGGACTTAATACACTTCCGATGAGCTGATATTTAGCTGTTTTGAATCAGAAAAATAAATACCATGCCCAGAAAGCGATTTTTCCGTCAGCACTGCCAGGAGATCCCCACAACGTGATGCGGGGCTTTCCTGAGACTTGCAGGGACGTTTATATTTTTATGTCACACCCCACCGAATGCCCAAGTACCAAACCTCCCAGTACTGGCGTGCCCTTGGTTTCCTTTTGGACAGCCAGTGAATTTTACACTTTCCTTTTGGACAACCCATGCACATCAGGTGACCATGTTTCTGTCCTGAGTATCTTAATTCTGCTTGTCCAAAAGGAGGGCAGCAAGGAAATCTGGTGTTTACTAAAAAAGGAAGACAGTATTTTGGGGAAACAGATGGGCAGAGGGACCCTGCCATATTCCATATGTTCCTGAGAACAAGAGAGGAGGCCCTGGGATGTGAAATGATGGTGAGGAGTCCGGGAGTTTCCATCCCTTGGCAAAGATACTTCTTCCTGTGAGACTCTGTGTCACCCTTACTGGCAAAGCTACTCCTTCAGGTTGGATGTATGTTGTTGTCATCCCTTTCCCGGCAGAAAAGGACCTCCTGGTTTAGTGTTCCCTGGGTGTCCATGCTTGTTGTCCTGTATCTCTGGCAATTTGCACACCATTCCTTATAACTCCATGCTTTCCAGTCTGGCTGTGTTGATGGCTCTCTCTGAAGCTCATTCTGGCTTCCTCGTGGTCGTCCCTCTGGTGCAAGGGGTGGGGGGGGGGGGCACAGGAGAGAAGTTTGTGCTTCACGCCCGCCTTGTCACCTCGCCCTCAGGTATGTGATCATCTCCCGGGAGGAGAGGGAGCAGAATCTGATGGCCTTCCAGCACAGCGAGAGGATTTACTTCCGCGCCTGCCGTGACATCCGCCCTGGGGAGAAGCTGCGGGTCTGGTACAGTGAGGATTACATGAAGCGGTTGCACAGCATGTCCCAGGAGACCATCAACAGAAATCTCACAAGCGGTGAGTCCCCCTCCCTTTCCTCCCTTCTCCCCCCCACCCCGTCCCCTTGGGCCCCCACACTTGTTGGACCGAGTGCGGTGGGTGAAGGAGGCGATGCCCAGGCGGCCTGAGGAGAGCTGCGTTTCTAGCAGCAGGGCTCCTCTGGGTGAGAGCTCTGCGTGGCCTGGCGTGGATGGATGGGTGTACGAGGAGAGTAAAGAGAACCACCGTCACGGAGATCATGAAAGAACGATTTGTGCTGTGTCGTGTTGTGTCATGTGTCTTGTGTCGTGTCGTGTCGTGTGTGTGCTGCAAGGGCCTGACGCAAAGCCCAGGGATCACAGAGCTCCTCTGTCACAGGACTTTCTGGCCCAAAGATTGCCGTGCTGGTGGTCCCACAGACAGGCACATTAGGTTTTTCTTCTGAACGTGCTGCTTTCTCTGGCTCCTGTGAGCAGCCTGTTTGAGGGAGCTCCGGTTGGTTCTGTGTGCATATGGAAGAGAGATTTCCTCGGTGTGTTTGTATGTCCATTTTCCTCGCTTAATTTATCTCCTCTTTCTTCAGAAAGATAATTTGGGATCAGCGCGACATCAGCTAGAGACTCCTTAGTCTCACAACCTTAGAGTGCGTGTACAACGTACAGGAGGCTGTGTACTTGTCAGACTGATTCTTCCCTGGATAAAAACTGTTATCTTATCTTAAGAGTAGCCGTGCTGGAACAAACCCAGCGGTCCTTTAGGTCAGTGTAATGTCAGCCATACAGGAAGCTTTAGAGGAAGGAAAAAATTCTCAATGTATCTGTTCGTCTATATAATGCTGAGACCTGAAGTTAATTAAGGGCATTTCTTTCCAGGCCTAGCCACCGAATGGCAGGGCCTCAGCGGGGCAGCCACACTAAATATAACTTTCTAATTAAGGTTCCCGTGTATATTACTACACAGCTGCTGTTGCTGCCTTGACTTGGTAAAAGGTGTCTCCTCTTTAATCGTGGGGTGGACAAGGTGTCCTGAAAAAGCTGGTTATTCTCCATCCCCTTGGAGTTATTATGCACTTGCAGTGTTACGTCTTGGTGGTTGTACTTGGGCAATTCCCACTTGTGAATGATCATCAGTATGAATGTGCTTTTTATTATAGTAATGAACATCACTGAGTGATTAGGTAGAGGCTGCAGTGATTTTGCTGCATCCCATGCACACGTTAGTTGTCCAGATGGCTTAGTACTTTCTGAAACTACAGCAGGAGAGAGACTGTGCCCTTGGAGCAGCTGCTCTGGAGGGGCACCGAGGCTGCGAGCGATTGCCCTGCCGTACAGACATGCCTTCAGTCCCAGTTTGTCATGGTTCGTGTGAGCTGAACTGGTAACTCACAGCCTCCTCCGTGCTGCGAGCGCGGTGAAGACCTGCCTCTGGGCTCCTCAGGACCCGCGTAGCCTACCCCACGCTCCGGTAGAAACCCCTGTGGCTGGGGAGACCACCCTAGAACCCCTCTGGCGTCTCGGCGAGCTCATCCTGCGGCAGGCTGGGCTCAGCCTGCAAAAGCAAAAGCAGCGCAGGGCCGTGGTTAGAACGGAGCATCGCCTGGGCCCTTGTTAGACTTGCGGGAGGCATCGCAGCCCCAGCTGGGAGGGCACTGGGAGGTGGTCAGGGAGCAGCTCCGCAGTCTGTTGAGTCACTTTCCGTTTAAAAGATTTCAAACCCCCTGCAGATTAGCCCGTCGAGTGAAGTGGCGCACTTTATTAATTCACGGGAACATAACATGGTCCCCGGGTTTTGTTTCTATCAGTAGTTTCTGACCCGCCTCATCAATGGACTCGAGACCAATAATATGAGAGATCATCTTGTGATTTCTAGCTTTTCCATAGGGCTGAACCACTTGGTTGGTTGGGGGACAAAATCACCGAGAAAGAAGAAGAATCCATTCTCTAAATCCCCAACTCTGCCAGTAGTCGTTACAGTCCGTAACGGGGGAAGTAGTAGGGCAGAGGCTCAGAGCTTTGCCCTTAGAAATTCTCATCAGCGTGGTGAAAATGGGATCTGTTGTTACGGCTTCACTCAAGAAGCGGCTGGGTTTGCCAGCCACCACCCAAACCCAGCGCAAAATCCCTGCCGCTCAGGCCAGCCCTTTTTACGGTGCCATACTCTAACTGTTTCGAGTCTTGCATCTTTTCTGCGTTCTTAGCATTGCTCTCCTTAGAGAGGGAATGGTAGCTTTTGCTCCGTAACTCTTATGAAAGCATGAATGCACTTTAAAAGCAAACAAAACCAAAAATCAGCATAAAGCAGCGTCTTGTTTGGGAAGCCATCAATGCTTGAAGTTATTTACAAGATAGAAGAATGATGGAAATTGAGCCAAACCTATCGTCTTTTGAATTTCCAGGTAAGGAAATCTGGCTATTCCCTTTATTTTAAGCAATTAATAATTTGTATGAGGTTGCTTTTATTATTGTTTTGGGTTTTGTTTTTTTTTTTTTTTTCTGTTTTTTAATCACTAAATGGCCACGCTCTTAGACTCCACCGGGACAAGCTAGCTGTCCCATCCTTGGAGGGCTTTCACCTGTTGTAGCTCAGTTGACAATGAGTACCTTGGGGTTTAAGAGTGCAAGATATTTTCACTCCTTTACCTTTGCATTTCTGGAGCAGCCTCCAAACCGAACGAGAGTAAAGGGGCTTGTGAACTTTGTGCGGTGGCGTGCACAGACGCTGGGGTTGTCGTGGAACGGTCCGAATCTCTTGCTGCGCTGCTGTACACTTGATACCTTTTACCAAGTCAAAACAGGCACAGGTCTTCCAGCCAGCCGAAACGGCACTTGGGCTCTGGGTGTTGGGTTCCACCGCCATCACTCATTCACCTCGTAGTCTCCTTCTAGCGCAGGTTGGTCATACCTTTAGGTTAAACGAGCTGCCTGTAGTTTCTCTTCTCTTTAAAGTGTGTGGGTCCTACTCCGCGCTGGCTACCCAGGACTGTCTCTGTTTTTGCAGACGTGCCCATTAGCAGGGCTCCTCCTCTCGCGAGCCTCGGTTTCCACTGAGTTGTGTCAGTTCCCTGGCTTGTAACGCAACGTGCAGACCTGCAGGGATTCGGCCTGCCTTTTTGTTCTTTTTTTCGTTTGAGTTTTAGATTGAGGGATGTTGCTCGGTTCCCGATGATAATCCCCACCCCTCGTTTTCCTTTCCAGGAGACAAAAAGTTGCTGAGGGAAAAGTCAGAAAAGAATGTGGAAAATCAAGAGGACGTGAGGGGGCCGCTCCAGCTCGCCACCTTAAAGCAAGGGAAGAGCCCCTACAAGCGCAGTTGTGACGAGGGGGAATCCCACCCCCAAACGAAGAAAAAAAAGATCGACCTCATCTTCAAAGACGTCCTGGAGGCTTCCTTGGAGTCCGCCAAATTTGAAGAGAACCAGTTAGCAACGAGTATGCCGCTTTCCATCAGAAAAGCATCTAAATACCAGGCCGAAGACATCTTTGAGAGGTGTGGCAGTGCCATGCAGCACGGCTCCCTGAACCTCAGCAGAAACCGGAGCGAGGGGGAGTGGAAGGTCCCCCACGGTTCCTCTTTCATCTCAGCCAAAGAGGTGGGCATCCTCGAAGATGAGGAAGAGGAGCCCCTGTCACTCGCAGCAGACAGCCCGACCGAGCTGTCCCTGGCCTCTGTGCAAGGCAACTCCCATGAAATCCCCACCACCTCCTTCTGCCCCAACTGCATCCGGCTGAAGAAGAAGATCCGGGAGCTGCAGGCCGAGTTAGACATGCTGAGATCTGGGAAGTTACCCGAGCCACCCGTGCTACCGCCCCAGGTACCCGAGCTCCAAGAGTTCTCGGACCCCACAGGTAAGCCTTGCCGAGTAACAGCGTTCTCCAAACCCTGCCTAAGGAGAGTAGTGAGATGCCTGTGTGCTGTGTACCCATCTAAAGCATTTTGCTCTGAGTATTCAGGTGAACACGTGATTCCATGGAAGGTTCGTTGTCAGGTTTTGTGACCGGGTGGGCCAGGAGCTGGCACAGCTGTGGGCACAGTGGAAAACACTGTCTGGGAAAGACTCTGTATGACAACTTGCTCTATTTGTTGCCATTGTAATCGATAATGCGCTGCCAATAAAAAAGACATTCCATTGCAGACAGTTTGTTTGCTGTATTTTTGATGCATTCTCTTTCAGCGGAAGCCCCTCCGCAGTGCCTCACATGCTACCAAGAAAGTCTGAATGACTCTGTGGTAACACTGAAATCTGCGCTCTTTGTGTATGAAATGATGTCCCGCTGTGTCCCTTGTTGGAAAGCCCTCTCTGTTTCCTCCACTGCCTTAACACAACCATGTGTCCCTTTTCTGAAGATACGTTTCATTTCCTCCAGGAACGTGCTGTCGAGCAGCCAGGAGCGTTCACCAAAGGGAATGTTTGGGGCACCCCATGTATTGTGAAAGTGGCCAGGATGTAGTATCCTTTCTTGCTGCCCGTTGTGGCAAGTTGGAGACAAAGTTCATATGCAGAAAACATTGATTTATTTTCCCTTTAAAGCCACGATTCAAATTCTACCCAGAGTGCATTGTGGGAAGGAGAGGGCAGGTTGTGACCAGCTCATCAGGCAATGCTCTACTGTCACCGGTAGGATGCTTCTCTATCTCAGCAACTTTGCAAATACCATATTTTTTTTTCCTTTTTTTTTTTTTTTTTTTTTTTTTTTTATCTTACAGCTTCCGAAAGCATCATCTCTGTTCCCACCATCATGGAGGACGATGACCAAGAGGTGGATTCTGCTGATGAATCAGTTTCCAATGACATGATTGCTGCTACAGACGAGCCTTCTAAGATGTCTTCCGCAACAGGCCGGAGGATACGGCGGTTCAAGCAAGAGTGGCTTAAAAAGTTTTGGTTTCTGCGGTACTCCCCGACACTGAATGAAATGTGGTGCCACGTCTGTAGGCAGTACACAGTGCAATCCTCTCGGACTTCAGCCTTCATCATTGGCTCAAAGCAGTTCAAGATACACACGATAAAGCTTCACAGCCAGAGCAACCTCCACAAGAAGTGCCTGCAGCTTTACAAGCTCAGGATGCACCCCGAGAAGACAGAAGAGATGTGCCGAAATATGACCCTGCTCTTCAATACAGCCTACCACTTGGCCCTGGAGGGCAGGCCCTACTACGACTTTCGGCCTCTGGCAGAACTACTGAGAAAGTGTGAACTCAAGGTGGTGGATCAGTACATGAATGAGGGAGACTGCCAAATCTTGATCCACCACATCGCCCGGGCTCTTCGAGAGGACCTGGTTGAACGCATCCGACAGTCTCCCTTCCTCAGCATCATTCTGGACGGGCAGAGCGACGACTTGCTTGCGGACACGGTCGCAGTTTACGTGCAGTACACGAGCAGCGACGGGCCTCCGGCAACCGAATTCCTGTCTCTTCAGGAGCTGGGCTTTTCTACGACAGACAGTTACCTCCAAGCGTTAGACAGGGCTTTTTCCAGCCTGGGAATACGGTTGCAGGATGAGAAGCCAACTATTGGCTTGGGAGTCGATGGTGCTAACGTTACTGCCAGCCTGAGAGCCAACTTGTTCATGACAATCAGAAAGACCTTGCCCTGGCTTCTCTGCCTGCCCTTTATGGTGCACAGGCCCCACTTGGAAATTTTGGATGCCATCAGTGGGAAGGAGCTGCCGTGCCTGGAGGAGCTAGAAAACAATTTGAAGCAGCTGCTCAGTTTCTATCGTTACTCTCCCCGACTCATGTGCGAGCTGAGGGTCACTGCTGCCACGCTGTGCGAGGAGACCGAGTTCTTGGGCGACATTCGAGCAGTGAAGTGGATCATCGGGGAGCAGAACGTGCTCAACGCTCTAATCAAGGATTACCTTGAGGTTGTAGCCCATCTCAAAGACGTCAGCGGCCAGACCCAAAGGGCGGACGCGTCTGCCATTGCCTTGGCCCTCCTGCAGTTCCTGATGGACTACCAGTCGATTAAACTCATATACTTCCTGCTGGATGTGATTGCTGTGCTTTCACGCCTCGCCTACGTCTTCCAAGGGGAGTATCTTCTTGTGTCGCAGGTGGACGACAAAATAGAGGAGGCCATCCAGGAGATCAGCCGGCTAGCAGACTCGCCTGGGGAGTACTTGCAGGAGTTTGAGGAAAACTTCCGTGAAAGCTTTAATGGCATCGCTGTGAAAAACCTACGGGTGGCTGAAGCCAAATTCCAGTCGATCAGAGAAAAGATCTGCCAGAAGACCCAGGTGATCCTAGCCCAAAGGTTTGATTCCCGTAGCCGGACATTCGTGAAGGCCTGTCAGGTATTTGACCTCGCAGCTTGGCCCAGAAGCACCGATGAGCTCATGAGCTATGGGAAGGAGGATATGGTACAAATATTTGAACACCTGGAGACGGTCCCGTCGTTTTCCAGAGAGGTTTGCAGGGAGGGGATGGACACCCGAGGGAGTCTGCTGATGGAGTGGCGAGAACTCAAGGTGGATTATTATACCAAAAACGGTTTTAAAGACTTGCTCAGTCACATTTGTAAATACAAACAGAGATTCCCCCTCTTAAATAAAATAGTTCAGATCCTCAAAGTCCTTCCCACCTCATCGGCCTGCTGCGAGAAGGGGCGCAACGCCCTGCAGAGAGTGCGCAAAAACAACCGCTCTCGGCTCACGCTGGAGCAGCTCAGTGATCTTTTGACGATTGCCGTTAACGGGCCACCCATTGCCAACTTCGATTGTAAAAGGGCCCTAGATAGTTGGTTCGAGGAGAAGTCGGGCAATAGTTACGCGCTGTCAGCCGAAATGCTGAGCAGGATGTCGTCCCTTGATCAGAAGCCGATGTTGCAGAGCATGGACCACGGCTCTGAGTTTTACCCCGATATTTAGGAAGGAATGCCTCAGATCAGAAAGCTGTTGAATAATTTTTTTAATCTATACTCTAAACTTTGATATATTATATAAAATATATATATATATTATATATATTAAGGAAAAACCCACACTGAAAATTTAAAAGTTAAGACGATGTGCGTCTGATAGAAGCTAAGCAGAATTTTAAAGATTCAGACAATGTTTAGACATTTACTTGTGTCTCCAACCATGGCAGCTGCAGTGTAGGTGGCAACATTTCATTCTTTAGAAGCATGTGCTGGGGCCATACTCTACATGTTCAAACCTAATGATCTATAAGCTAGACGACGGGTCTTTGTCAGCCTCATCCTCCTGGTGGTTTCCTTTGTATGTGTTTTGTCGGGTTGTTTTCTGTGTTGTTTTGTTTTGGGGTTGGTCGGTTGTTTTCTTCCCCCTCGGTTTTAATCTCTGCCTCTCTTTCCGTTGTTCAGTCCAGTTATTGAGCCATTCGAGCCTTTCGTTGATGACCGTCAGATTTCTGATTTCCGACAGAGCATCCCGTGCGTTTATGTTGTCCCCAGCTCTCCAACTCCACCCAGTTCTCTTCACTCGAGTGGGAGCTTTCTTCGCTCACAGAGATTACTGGCAGGAGGAAAGGGCTGGGGACATGATTTTAGTTTTTGCTTCTGATTTAGAAACAAATGCCTCCACTAAACTGTGATGCCCCTTTCTCACTTCTCCCTACTTTTGGGCTGTAGAGTAATACTTGGCTTTCAGCTCCTTTTATGATAAACGTAGTACCAGTCTATCATACGTATATTATAACATGATGTCATGTGCAGACTATAAAATAGCAAAATAGAGAAGGCAGGGGGAAATTTTTGCATTTATATTTTTATATTGTAGGAGATAAAAATATATATATATACAACTATTCATTCAAAACCAGGGCTGCTGTGGAAGCTAGACAGCCAATGAGTCAAGAGCCATCTCTGGGCGGAGATTCAAAGGCTTAAAAAATTATATTCTAATTTACATTATTTATACTATGTCTTTATAATCCTAGATTGTTGTGGGTTTTTTTGTTTTGTTTTGTTTTGTTTTGTTTTGTTTTGTTTTGTTTTGTTTTGTTTTGTTTTGTTTTGTTTTGTTTGGAATGACTGAGAGAAAAACCTGCTGCAGTTTGGTGGCAGGAGCTATCAATGCAAGATTATCTTGGATTATATTCATGTGATGATGTCGTACAAAGGTTCACGTATTCTCTTGTGACCAAGGTAACATGTTCCACAGCACAGCAGACTGATGACAGCAGGAAGAAGGGATGCTCTGCTTCTTCCTGCAAAATATTTCTTCCTTTCTTGAAGGGATGAGGAGTCCAGCTGAAATGTGAATGGGGGACTTGCACCTTCCATCACAAAGAGATTGTTCTGTGGGCTCGGGGTTCTTCTTTGTTTTATTCTTTTAAAGTGAGCTCCAGGCATTCACACATTATCACTTCAGGTTAGAAAAGCAAAAAAAAAAAAAAAAAAAAAAACCAAAAAAACAACCAAAAAAAAAAAAACAAACAAAAAAAAACCAACCACACAAACAAAAAAGGTGCAAAAACTCCACAACAGATGCTAGTGCCTTGCCCCGCTGATGTGGCATGGACAGCACCAACCTGACCAGACCATCGTGAGGGTGAGAACCTGTTGTTCGGAAGGTGTCCAAGCCGACATGTTCTCACTTCCCAGAGGGACAAGCTTTGTGCCAAGCTGTGTTGTTTGGAAACATGATGGTGGTATCAGCAACACTGAACCTTTCCTTTCTCCTGTTACCCCCCCCTGCCCTTGGTCTTGGTGCTAAGATATCTCTAGAACCGTTGCTGCTAGTTGATAGCTTTTCATTTATATAAATATATATATATATATATAATATTATTTTATTTTTTAAACTTTTTTGTTTGTTTTCAATGGAGATGTAGCACGTTTGGAACCGATCTCTCTCGGAGTCACTTTCACTGCCAGGGTTCACGCACTGTCTTCCCCGGGAAAACACGCACTTCTACCTAGGTCTCGCTCACCTCCTGCTCGCCCCTTTTGCCCTCAGCATGGCACAGAGCCCACGGGGAACCGCCACGCCGGTGTTGGTCAGAGTTTTGGAAGTTTTTCCCCTCTGTCCCTGTGGGGCTGAGCCCACCCAAAGCACTCACGGCGCCCAGCCCTCGCGTCCTGACTCTGCTCCTTTTGCTGTAAAACGGGGCTCGGTGGCCCGAGGGGGAGCGGGGCGGCGAGGGCTGGGTGGGCGCCCTGCCTTCTGTAGCACTTAACTCCCCGTCCCCTCTTGCCTTACCTCAGGTGGCTCGGGTGGGAGCCGGGGAGGTGAGGAGATCCACTTCTCCCTCGTGGAAACGTCGCAGCCTAAGTCAGGGCGTCACGCCGCCGCAGCGCAGGGGCCTCGGTAGCGCAAGCGAAAAAATGGCTTCGTTTGCCATTTCCCCCCCCCCCGCCCCCCAATAAACGATGTGATCGGATTGACCCATTCGTCTAGAGGAGTAAAAATTAAACTGGAAGCTCTCCGCCAGCTGTGCAGGCGTGGGCAGTTGTTTGCTGGACGGTAAAACAGGGATCTCTCCAGGCGAGGTGCTTGTGGGTGTCCAGCCCCAGCGAGTCAGCTGCGCTCGGGGTGCTGCCACGAAGCTCACAGAGCTGCTCCCTGCTGGGGAGCCCGCAGGCTCCCCCCTGAGTTAAAATCTGAGGAGAAAAAAAATAATTAAAATTAAAGAAGGAAAAAAAAAAAAAAAAAAAAGATAGGCTGCTCTGTTAGTCTCTGGCCTGGAGATTGGCAAGGTGAACGTAGATGTGGGAGACAAGTGAAGTGATATGCCAGAGGGGCAGGTGGGGGAGAGTCTTCCTTGTCGAGCGTGCATGTTGCAGCAGAAGCAAAAATAACAAAAATATTTGATGCAAGCTGCTGTGGCTGTTGGAGAGGCTGTAAAGATAGTTTCCTTCCTTCCTCCCACCCAACCCTTTTTTTTTTTTTTTTTTTTTTTTTCATTTTCCTTCGCTTGACTCCATAGTTCTTGGTGGAGGGAAAACAAAAAAAAAAAAAAAAAAAAATCACCCGCCTTTCCGTTTGCAGCAGTGAAAGCTCCTCGGCACGTGGCTCTGTCACAGAGGCCCGTCAAAGTGCCTGGCCTACGTGGAGGGAAGGGATGCTGGCCCACAGTCTCCCGACACCTTTGCAGACAGGAGTGTTCCCCCAGGGCTTGTGCTGAGCCACCCCGAGACCTGTTTACAGCTCCTGCTCTGAGCCTCTTTACTTTTGCCACGGTGGGGGGGGGGGGGTGGGGGGATGAGAAAAGAGTGCCTTGCCTTGTTGGCGAGGTAAGAGGCTTCTTCAGAAACAATTCCTCTAATTTGTCACTCCTTCCCTTTGGTCCGTTTGCAAATCCTGCTCTCATCAGTGACATCTGTCACTGGCTGCTCTTACCCCTGACGGCGGAGCGAAACGTGCAGCAAGTGGTGGTTTTACTCGGGGCAGTCAGCTGGCAGTGGGAGAGCGCTCCTTGGTTTTGCAAATAACTTTGTGTGCACCTGTGAGCCGTGTGGGTAGGGAGCGCGATTCCCTGCCACGGGATGCTGCGGACACCCGCGATGGGGAAGGTCAGAGACCCCTCGCACGGGTGAAGGGGGGGAGCAGCCAGCCTGGCCCAGCCCAGCTCCCCAAACACAAACAATTCCCCCATCATCCCCACATCAGAAAATCAACCCGGCCTTTGTCCTAGGCGAACACAGGTGCTTTGCAAGCTTTCCCTCTAGGTTTACCCGCCTATCTCAGATCTGTAGCTGTTACTCTCCCATGGATAGTCTGTGGATGGAAACGTGACTGCCGGCAGGAGCAAGATAGGGAGGAGGGAGGAATACCAATGCAAAGTGCCCCTGGCTTCCCAGTGCCCTGCCTGCCCGGCCTTTCCCCGGGGCAGATGCGTTTCTGTTCCCTGTTTGCAAACTCTCTGGGGCCTGGCCGGGTGGCCGGCAGCAAGGCCGGGGCGGGGGGCAGCGGGGGGCATGGGGAGGGCTCTCCTTGCCTCCAAGATGGCCACGCGTCGGGTTTAATTGATGCCTTTCCCGCTGTGCTGAGCGAGGGAGAGGAGGTTGTTTTGAAGGTGTTGCTCGCAGCATCTTGAACTGCTTTGGCTGCAAAGAGAGAAGGGTTTAGTTTTTTTCAAATGAGCTCTCTATTCTCTCCTTCCCCCCCCCCCCCCCCACGCATCTTAGGTATGGCATCTGACTGTGAATAACACACGCTTCTCCAGACCCTCGGGTTTGTATTTCTAGCCCCCGGGCTTTTTGGTTGCCAATTCTCCCTCCCCACTTTTTGCTCAGGCTCCTTGCCTCTTTGACCCTGCCGTGAAGCAGAAATCCATGAAGCACATGCAGACATGTCCTTCTGCAGGGCTCGCCAGCGGCCGCAGGGGCCCGGGCCCTCCGGCCACGAGGCCGAACTCAGCAGGGATAATCCTCACAAGAGACCAAAGCTCTTCCCATACCAGCAAAAGCACACGGGAGCCACGGGGGGGCTTTGTGAGGGGAACGCGGTGGGCAGGGTCCCAGCGTCTCACCTGCCTTGGGTCTCGAGCTGACCGCGGCGATGTCCCCCGTGCTGGTCGCGCTTTTGCTGATATGACTCCTCGGACGTGATTCGGGCTCGGTCCAACTCTCTCACAGCACAAACTCAACCAGGCGGCCCGCGAAGTCTTCAGGGTCCCCTTTCTTTCTTATCTCATGAGGATTGCTGTTTGTTTGACCAGTGGGTAAGACAGCCTAGACAGCCGGCTTGCAAATAAGCAGCAACAGCCTCTGCTTTTGCAGGTTCCCCTCTCAGCCCTGTCAAAAGAGGTCTTAAAAGCAGAGAAACGGTACGTTGCTCCCCCCAGCCATTGTATTCAATGCAGTAATGCCTATGCAATTCCTGTCTCCCTTGGAGACACGTATGATGTGTGTGCATGTAAGCTAGTGTATGTATACAGTACATATGCATATGGTCTATATATTGTATATACGCACATCCCAGTACATATACACACAATACAAAAGATTAAAATCACATGCTTATATATCTATAAATAAAATCCTATATATTTATATATTTCTATGTTTTCGATAGATATAAAGATATAATATAGAGATAGACTCAACCACCCTTGTGTAAGGCTGGCCCTGTGTTCTGGCACAAGGCACATAACACTGAAGACTTCGGACTTTGGGATCGTTTTAGCCATACACTGAGGCCTACATTTACGTGTATAGCACTCACTCTACGGAGAGGGGCTTTGCTGTGGTTAGGGCAAGTGGTTTCCTTGCCGGCGTGTTAACCAAGTGCTAAATAAGGCTTGTGTAACGGTGGGGGGCGGGGGGGGGGGGTGTCTCGGTGGGGGGAGAACGCTGGCGTGTCCTTGTCTTCTCCCGAGTCTGCCTCTGGCTGAGGTCCTGCATGTTCGCGTTTGGGCAGATGCCTGTCCCACCCTCAGATGCACTTTCCTCTCTCTGCACCGATGCGCTTGGCAGCTGCGGGTGCCCGGCGCCGTGAAAACGTGGCTTTCGGCTGTTCTGCCCGGCAGTCGCTGGCACCCTGCCCGGGAGACCCGGCTCGGCGGCGCAGGCCGTGGGGCCGGCAGGACGGCGGCGGGAGAGCAAAGGCGTGACGGAGGGAGGCAGGCCGGAGGTGGCAGGGACAGCACGGATGGGAAGAAGGGCACCCCAGGTTGGGAGCGATAAGGATGGGAGTGTGCCGGCCCTGCTGGGGAGGCACGTGCAGCTCTGTCCGGGCAGGGCTGGCCGCTGCTCTCCCTCGAGTCCCGCAGCCGCTCCCCGGGCAGGTTTGCTGGAGGGAAAGGAACGATGCGATTGCGCGGCAGGCGCCGTCGGTGGCGCGCGTGTGGTCCCGACCTCGCCAGACTGGAGCACCAAAGGGTGCAACCCTCCTTGCCCGACTTGTGCGGAGAGACAGTTATTTTCGCATGACAAGCATTTCCATGCCAGGACTGGGCTGGGGCGGGGGGGTGGGTCAGCCTTCCCCGAGTTTCTGCCGATGCCTGCGGGATGGGCAGCTGCCTCGTCCCTCCATCCCTCCCTTCACCCGGCCGCTCGTAGGACGCTCACCCCACTGCGGGGTGAAGCCCTCGGCTGGCACCTTGCGGGGGGGGGGACACCCGAGAGGTGCCTCTGGCCGGGCTGGCAGCGGGTGGTGGGTCGCCGTGCTGCTTCCCCGTGAAGGTCGAAGCGGGGAAGCACGGAGGTTTGGCTTTGCAGCTCTACACCGGGCCTGGCAACCACGCGCTCCTCGCCGTTCGTTTTACTTGTTGGCTTCGGTCGGGAGGGGGGCGAGTTGTAACTCCGACGGCCGAATGACTTGCTACACTGGTATTGCATGAGCAAACGCTGTGCAAGCTCCCCCACCACCACCCCACACCCCACCACCCCCCCCCACCCCCCCCCCCCCCCCCCCCCCCAAGCCCCACCACACACCTCAGCGCCCTTTTCCAGGCCTCTCTCCTCCACACAACTGGTAATCCACCTCAGCCGCAACCCGCCCGCCGGCGGCTCCCCGTTCCGCCGCAGCGCCGGCGGGAAGCACCCCGGCACGTGTTCCTCACGAACCTCAAGAGACGGTTTCCTCACTCCCAGCTCTCCGTTCCTCCTTCGGATGCCACTGACACTCGCGTAGGCTCAGCCCGCGGCCTGGCCGCCCGCCCGTGCCGGCAACGCTGCCGCCCGGCGAGGGGCTCCCATGCACTGCACCTCATGTCGAATAAGCTCGCTGGGCTACGTGGGGGAACCGTGTCTCATATGCTGTAATGTCCCGAATGCTATAGGAGGGCTACGGAGTTTTCTGCCAGTCGTGGCATCCTCCTAGACTCACCCGACTGTTGGTAAAAAAAAAAATGCATTTCTACTTCCAGAAAACAAGAGGTTTTCTCTCAAACCTCACCATATCCAAGCACAGCCCTGCTGAACTGTTCCAAGCGATCTCTCACCCACCCACCCACCACACACACCCACTCACACACACACGAAATGAGAGAAAAATATCTAGACGTCTATTACTACATATGTATTACTATGTTAATATCACTCTTTTGGAGAACATTAAAATGTTATTACTTTACAGACTATGCTTTATAGTACCTGTGTGAAAGGACCTAGGACACTGGATACGAATAGAGCTATGTTGATATATCATAGTATGTACACGAGAACCTTCCTTTTGTCATATTATCCTTGTAATGTAAAATGATTGTTAATAAAAAAACATTTAAATTTATCAGGTTGGGTTGCTAATTCTTTACACTCTTCTTGGAGGTTAATGTCATTTTCCAAGAGCAAGGGCATCGAAGCTGATGTGCTCCCTCTTCCCCGGCCCACGACTGTAAGGAACGGGGCCGGTGCTGATTTATCCAGAAGGGTCAGCTCTCCCTCCTGGTTGACCCTCCTGGGCCCATGGTGGATTAACTGGAAGGTTAACTGTTTTAAAACGGTTCAATGAAACAGGAGTATTTTTGTACGTGGAGGTTCTTACGTCTGCTAAATCAGTGTGGGCGAGAGAGCCAACCTCTGAAGCACGTACGAGCGCCCGTGGATTAGCATGGGTCTGTGAGTCGTGTTTTCTGACCGAACAGCTGACAAAGCTGAAAACATCGCTGTCTCCTTGGGCTCAGCCTCGCTGCTCCTGGAGATAGACCCCACAGCGAAGGCACAGCAGGCACGATGGGCTGTCCTTCCCTCACTGCAGTTCAGGGTTTCACGGCAGTTCAAGCAGGGAGGATGTTGCAAAGGTTTCAGCCAACCCTGCTACAGGGTGGTGCCAACAGCAGCTAGGGAGAAACCCAGGCAGAAAAAAAAAAAAAAAAAAACAAAAAAACCCTTTCAGCTCAGAGAGTTGCTCACTCAGCTGTAAATGTGTCTGCGTGGCAGTGGGGGGAACCAGAAATCACGGGGAAGCTGTGCAGCCGACTGTATGGATCCTGTACCTGGCATGGTATACTCCGAGTATTGATACTGAGAGTATTGCTGAGCTTCAGCATGTAGAGACGAAAGCGCTAATAAACATGACTGGCCATTTAATTTAACTGGGTCAGGAGGTATCTCCGTTTTCCAGTTGATCCTGTCTGTGGATACCTGGGAACGGATACCAGCGGATAAGCCAGTGTTACGTGAAGCGGGTGAGCAGTTTCACCATCTAGGAAACGTTTCATGCAGTGGATGTATGTAATATAAAAAGGTTTGTGTCGCCCCCCCCCCCCCCACACTGAGGGTCCACTGTCATATGGATGCTCGTAATCTTGCACTTTGATGCCCAGCTGTGTCCCACTCATGGCTGTTCTGGGTGCCAGGTGCCAGTGCTGCGCAGCTTGCTGGGCCTCCCGAAGGAAAGGAAATTTGGGTGGAAATTCTGACACTGGGGAAGGTTTGGCCTTAGAAGGCTCTGGGCTCCGGGGGAGGGTGTGTGTAGACGCGTCAGTCCCCGTGGGTGATGGGCTGTGCAGGAGCTTTGGTTTCAGCATGAAAGCCCCACAATTTTAACCAGGGACAGTAGCCACAGAGGCTGAGAGCAAGAGGCAATTTCCAGATTCGGAAGTGAAAATAACCCCAAATTACATAGAAAATGTTGCTTTTAGTGACTTCCTCGAAGTCATCGAGCAGTCCAAGCATTGCAATTTGCCATTTTCTGGCAGCTTGCACAGTAGTGATTTAAAATCGCTCATTTCTGAGCAGTAAGCAAGCCCAGCAAAATCCTGGTGGTTGTCAGGGCTTGGCTCCAACTTCACGGGCTCTGGGTTTGCTGGGCGCCTGGCAGCCAGCGGTGGAAACCTCATCTCTGCGGTTTTGCCTTTGCTAGTCAATTAGCACACAAAGCAGGACGATGCTTCCCTTTCAGCAGCTCAACCGTGTGTAAAGAGTAAGAGTGGCGTGTGAAATGAATTGCTGATTTGTAATTAATTTCCTAGAAGTGGTTTTGTGCTGTGGACACTTGACCGCTGCCGTTGGCAAAGATCAGCCTCCTTGCTGATAACTTCAAAGCAAGGACTTAAAAGCCAGATCCCTTCAAGCAAAGTGCGTGACCTGAGCCAGTGTCAGGAAGGGAAGCTTGCACAAATTTGTCGGATCTAGGGCTAAAGGTGCCCTTCATTTTTAGGACCATTGTTTTTTATGTCAATATGAGTGAAAAGGAAATTGAAAAATTCCTCCTTTATGGTTGTCATAGCATTAAAGCCTGACATTCTCTTCCCCAACTCTGCTGGTGTCCTGGACATGTTCCATGGAGACGGCTGTTGTTAGCAGCTGCCACTTAAAACTTGTTTTAGCAAAAAAAATCCGATGTGTTCTTTCGTCCTGGAAATGGGACGAGTGTGGTGGTGCCTGCAACTACACTGAGGGTTTGCAGGCGTAACCAGAGAGGGTTTTCAGGACTCCCTGGGGGCTAGCCTTCCCTTGCTGCCTCTCCTGAGGCCGGAGGGAGAGTGCAGGCAGCCAAGCACAACAGGGGGTTTAAGTGGGTCCGTTTCCACACACACACACACGCACACCCCCAGTTAAATTTAAATCAGAGGGCTGGAGCAGGCCTTGATGCAGTGCCATGGGTCCGGCTCCGCGGTGGCACGGAGCAGTGGGCGCAGGGGACCTGAGGCTGCTGCTGGCAGAGCCCTTGCCACACGAACAGAGCCACAGCTCATTTACAAGGGGCTCTAAAAATATCCGAAGGATAACCAAAGGCTCCCACAGAACGGTACATGCGCAAACTAGACTTTTTGGCTCTCTGAAGTCCCCCTGTTTGAAGTCGTTTCGAGCCGAGGGGTAAAAGAAGTGTGGTGCCTGCGCTGCTGTCAGACGCCCCGTTTCTGGGGAGCATGGTGGTCCCTCCGGGGGTGTGCAGGGGTCCCCGGGAGAGCAGCCCGGGGGTGGCACAGTGCACAAGACAGGGACAGGACGGGGACCCGTGTGCGGCGGTGGGACGGGGTTTGCAGAGTCACGCTTTGGGCCACTGCAGCACCTCGGGACGCTCGGGAGAGCTGTCCTGGAAAAATCGGGTAGGTTTCAGGTCTGAGCTGTCTCCTCAGGGGCATCTCGGATCCCCTTCTTCCGTGGGTTTATTCCGCGGTCAGTAGGAGTTCAGGGAAGCGGAGGAACCGGCTGCAAACCTCCAGGGCTAGCACTGGTAATGGCTGTGATGCAGCTGCTGGATTAGGTGCCACTCTCCTGGCAGACAGAGGATTAGTGAGCCAGTCCCGTTTTCATTTTTAAATACCGTGGAGGGGAAGAAAGCTTCTAATAAGTCCAAAGTGACAATGAACAGCAGGGTTAAGAGAAGAGAAGGTGCTGCAGCAGCTATTGCTGCTTTTCAATACGCAGGGCTGGGAATTACTGGAATTACCCTCACTAATCCCCTAGGTGGGAAGGGTTGTCCCTGGCAAACACACCACCCGCGTTCAACTCCCTGTGCGGTAAAAATACAGCTCTTTTCCCCCAACCTTTATGGCAAACGCTTCGGTAGCATCAGCCTCGCTCTGCAGCTGACAGGATGGTGACAACCCTCTCTGCAAATCCAGCAGCAGCCAGGGGCCCCGCAAACTTCCCTTGTTGTTTCTCCTCGTGCTTTAACACTGACTGTGATGGGTGAGGGAGTGCCCCCAAACTGTCAGTGAGGTAAATACTCCCCACTCCTGCCCCCCAAAAAATCTATTTTCGCTTACTTTTATGTGCAGTTTTTGATCTCTATGCCTTGTCAGGAGCCAGCTAATTCCAGTGACAGTATTAGGCCAGCTAAGTAGGTATTTGTCCTTGCAGGTGTACAGTTTACAGAGTATCATGAGCACCACCCTGAAAGTACTGAGATCAGCAAAAAGGCTGAATCCAAGTTCACTTCTTAGTTTTGTTTCGCAGACGGAGCCTGTATCTGAGAGGAACCCAATGATTCCCAGCTTCTATTCCCTAACCTCCTCCCCAACCTCCTCGCAGCGGCAGGAAAGTCCTTACAGCTTTGTTTAGCTGCCACCTTGCTGAAAAAGCCAATAGATTTCCTGTGCTTGGCCATGACAGGAGTCCATTGCTGACTGCTCCCCTTCTCCTCGTACGCCCACCCCTCGATGACACCCTTCAGAGGACCTTCTGTTGCCTCACCCCTGACACGAGCTGCAAGCAGAGGGGACTTACACCAGAGTAAACAACGCAGACACACTGTTGATAGAGTTTGGAATTATTTACTTGCAGTGGTTGACACGTTGTGCTGTAACATTAGACACGATGGCTGAGCCTCATGCTCTGTTTTTGTGCTTTGGACTGTGAGAACAATATAGAGTCTTGACAAACAGTATCTGGCTCCGTACAATAAACACACTGGGACACTAAAGGAGCAAGTAAGCAGAAAAGCCTTCTCATGCTGGAAGGCCACAAAGTACTATTTCACTTTGCTACTATGCTTGCACAATTTGATTATTACCAACGGAAGAAACAATATAAAGGGCCCAGTATTAGTATTTACTCATCATGCTTGTCTTTCAGCAAATGAACTGAGTACATTTCGAGGCTTAGTTAAATTCTGAAACACATAAAAAATGCTGCCAAAGCTCTGCCCTTTAATTCAAACTTCAAACTGACCTTGAAAAGAGTGCAAGAAATGTGGTCCAAGCCAACTTAGCTCCCAGCTCTTACTAGACATCATTGTGCTCAACACATCTTAAATATCAGAAAAATCTGGGCAAACTTTGGTCTGTATTTCCAGAGCTCAGATTCCACCCTCCTCCATTCTGGAAAAAAAAAAAAAAAAAAGTCTGTCTTTGGACACTACTGCCAGATAATACTGATGACAGATGCTAGCAAAATCCAAAGTACTTTTGTTCAAGGTGTTGAAAGAACAGTAATGCCCAGGAGAATAGTTGAGCCTGAAAATTTTCCCAGCCCTGTTGAAGGGAGTTTTCCATTAATTTCTGATGTATTACCTCTTTGCAAAGCACACATGGTTCCTGTCACCATGCAAGGGTATTTGGGACAAGAAACTAAGGGAAAACTGTGCACTGAGAAAGTGTTACCCTTACAGGACACCGGCTGCAGCTGCTACCCCTTACAGCTGGGGAAGAGGGCTGCGGAGAGTAATGAGTCTAAAACATCCCAGAGATGTTTTAGTGACTATCAGTGGTCTGTGCTTTTTAATCGATTCTACTGTAGCACAAATTGCCTAAAATCAAGCTAGATCATGTGTTTGGGAAGATCTAGCTCTGAGGACAGCTCAAGGCAAAGCAACATATGGCTACAATCTATATTTTAATCAAATAACTCCTTAATGTAGTCACAAGTTCTTTCCTCTTGCCTCTCAGTCCCCTGCCCTGAACAGAGGCCACAGCAGGAGATCAGATCGCCTCTCCCAGGCAATGCTGGATGCAATATAGGAGCTGCATTTCTCATTCTGCTTTACAGTAGTCACGTTGTTTGGGTTTTGCCACTGCTCGAGGGACTGTGAATCCCCGTCCTCAAACTCGCAACTCTCTGGCCTTTTGTGAAAAGGATTGTTCATTCCAGCCAGGTAGACTGCCCCCACACACCCCCATTTTTTTTTTTTTCCTCCCTCCCTACAGTCTCTTGGCTTCCAGCTTCTTCATGTTAATGGGTTATAGTAGGCAGAACAATCAGTGCAAACAACGACTAGCCACTGGGGACTCTAATGGCTGGTTTTGGTCACACGTATAACTAAGAAACATTAATTGCCATAGCTGTTAAGAAACATTAATTGCCATAAGTGTTTGTTTGTTTGGGTTTTTTTCTGCTTCTTCTCTTATGATGCCGTATATAAGCAGCACCCTTTAATTTAAGACAGGTTAGTGGTGCTCACCGATGCTCCTGTATTTACAGCTTCAGGAGCTGAAGACTATGGGGCTGTCTGGCTCTGGTTCTCTGGCTTTATTGCACCGAAGTGATACTTTAACAGCTCGTGTTGCTGAAGCTGCTTGATATGATGGCACTGAGGATTTCCAAATACTTTGCATTTATATTCATGACGTTGTCATCTACCACTACAGCTCCGGCAGTTTGTCAGCTTGGGCCAGTTTAGCACCTCGGGCCCTTGGGGTGCTGGGGCTCAGGGGCATACAGGGATTGCTAAACAGGTGATACAGGCAGTTCAGAGGGATGAGGGCAGGGCCCTGGGCAGGTGCTGGAATGCGATGACAAACAGCTCCTATTAACAGAGTTCAAAAGGGCCCAGGCTGAGCATCCCTGGTACCACACGTAGCAGCATTCCTCCCAGCCAGGCCAGCCAGCACCCTTAACTGCACTTGCTTTCAGCCCCTGCACAGCAAATGGCTGCCTCGTTAAATAAACACCTGGCAGTCTTTGTTCAGGCAGCTCTGAATGAGAGAAACATTCTTTCCAGGCTAAAATGTCAGGGAACAGAAATGATCCAGCTGGGAAAGATGCACTCATTTTCACTCTTCCTCTCTGCCCCATTTAAATCCCATTGCAGCAAAGGAGGGAACAACACAGTTCGTTAACATTGATGGCACCACTTTGCTCCTAAGACAGATTTGTGGTTAAGTAGCGTGAATACAGGTATTTTTCTGCTGTAAAAGAGGACATTTTTTTGTCACAGCAAAATCAGATTGCGAGAGGTGATTCCTCTAGATGCTATAGGAATGCTATCTAATTACAGGGTGTGCCAAAATCACCAGGGGCAGAGGCAGATAATGCTGTTTACAATCAGTCACCAAGATGTTATAAAAGGCTCATCTGCAGGAGGCAGAACTAGAGAAATCTCTTGGCAGCAAGGCAAATATTTGGCCCTTCAGGCTTTCCGGTGCCAGGCAAATAGCATCATACCATGAAGTTATCCGTCTTATCATTATCCTACAAAGAAGGAAGAATCACAGTGCTGCCAGGAACCGCTATGTAGAGTAGGCCAGAATTACAACGAATTTTGCACTTCAGTGGAAGTAATGATTCCAAATCTATAGGTATTTCTACAGGCAAATCATGAACACAGCAACTATTAAGAATTCACTATCAGCTAAAACCCTGTGTCTACTTTATTCAGTGTGCTACAGCTTTTTGTTAATAAACAAAAACCCATAGAGCAAAACAAGAAGTCAATTTGCTTTTTGTTTAAATCCCCTCTAGCCAGTGGAGCAATATCAGAGATTAAAACATTGGGTATAAGATTCATTGGCATACTTAGCTTTTCTGTTTGTTTGTTTGCTTGTTTGGTCAAAGCTGGTTTTGTCAGTCTTCAAAATGATGCTGTAACTCCTGGCTACACCACCTATAAAGGGAATAGCAGTGTAAAGATAACAGAGTTTTCAGTATGCATTAACCTTGGCAGTCTCTTCACAGAATCACAGCATCGCTGAGGATGCAAAGGACCTCTGGAGATCATATTGCCCAAACCCACCCCTGCTCAAAGCAGGGTAAACTAGAGCAGGCTGTTCAGCACTGTATCCCATCAGATTTTGAGTGTCTCCAAAGATGGGGACTCCCAACAAGCTCTTTTGGCAACTTGTTCTAGTGTTTGACCATCCTCACAGTAAAAAAGTTTTTTTTGTCCTTTTTTTTTCATGTGTTCAAATGGAATTTCCCATACTGCGGTTTGTGCCCTTGCCTCTTGTCCTGTCACTGGACACCACTGAAAAGAATCTGTCTTCATCTTCTTTACTCCTCTCCCAGATCAGGTGTTTATACGTGTTGATAAGTTTCCCCCTCCGACCCTTCTCTTGACCAGGCTGAACAGTCCCAGCTCTCTTAGCCTCTTCTCCTCTAGAAGATGCTCCAGTCCCTTAACCATCTTCATGGCCATTTGCTGTACTCTCTCCCATACATCCATATCTTTCTTGCACTGGGAAGCCCAGAAGTAGACACAGCACTCCAGATGTGCCCCCTACCAGTACTGAGAAGAGAGGAAGGATCACCCCCCTTGACCTGCTGGCAATGCTTTTCCTAATGCAGCCCAAGACACTGTTGGCCTTTGCTGCAAAAGCACATCACTGGCTCATGTTCAGCTTGGTGTCCAGCAGGACACCCAAGGTACTTTTCTGGAAATCTGCTTTCCAGATGGTCAGTCCCTAGCCCTGCACTGGTGCAGGGTGTTGTTCTTCCCCAGGTACAGGACTTTGCGCTTCTCCTTTTTGAACTTCAGGAGGTTCCTGTCAGCCCATTTCTCCACCTCTCCACCTCTCTCTCAATGGCAGCACAACTGCCTGGTGTATCAACCACTACTCCCAGTTTTGTATCATCTGCAAACTTGCTGGGGGCACGCTCTGCCCCATCGTCCAGGTCATTTATGAAGATGCTAAACGGTGTCAGGCCCACGACTGGTCCCAGTCACCACTAGTGACTGGTTCCCAGCTGAACTTCATTCCCATGTTCATAACACTCTGTGCCTGGCACTTCAGTCAGTTTTCCCACACTGGTTCTGGTGGTTTCCTTTTGCCAACGGGATGGCAGCCTTCACCTGACAATCTGCTAAACTTGTTTGACTAAGCCATCAAAATGAGATGGATACTGGATAAAGCCTAGCTTAATATTTTGCATTAAACAGAGGATCAAGCTGACCCTGCAGATATGAAGTTCTTCGAGTTCTTCAGTGCTACAAATCATACAGTTCTGTGTTCAGATTTTTGGATGTCTTGTCCACATGGAAGTCTCTTAAAGCTGTGTCTACTACTTGAAATTAAGCGGTAGGACAAGCAGTGTGCTTATGGGGTCATAACATCATCACTGCCAATGCCAGACTTTCAGTCCATCTAGACACAAAAAAAGGACAGTAAACAGTAACATTTAAGCCACACCAAATCTTGAAAGTGCACACAAAAAAACAAGCCCCGCAGAGTCTGTCTGGTCAGTGAATTCCTTCTGTCTGGAAGTGATGAAATACATGGCAGTTTTTAAGGGTTGTCTTCAAGTAATGCTGGTATGAGGATTTGAGTGCAATAGTTAACTGCCAAACCAAAGCTATCAATCAGCTGCTAAGGTATGAAATGATCCCACTTCTTATGCCTACGATTAGATGTTGCTTGGAATATAAGTAGAGTATTTGAAAGTTTCTAGCATAGAAAAACCCAAGCAGAAAAGATGGCAGTAAGCAGAAAGATTTGGTCCAAGTTTTTGGAGGTAACATCAACAATAACTTTTTGTCCATGCTTAGGATTTTCCTGGGTGATACTGTAGAAAGACAGAAGATATCTGTTCTGCTAAAGGATGCTGAAACACTCATATTTTCAGTAGTTTTCATGAATCCTACATACAAGATATCAAACACTCCAGGAAACAAAAGTAAAGGAAGGTATTTGACTTCTTGTTTGGCAGTGTTTGCTTCAAAGGCTACACAGGATGATAGACTTGACTGTCTCACTCTCTCTTCTTCCTCTGCTCTCTCCCTTAGTTCTATATCTTACTCGAGGTATCCAACTACTGCACGATGGTTTCGGTCTCTCTTTCATACTGATACTTTGGGTCTGCAGTGAAGGTTAGTTTTGTGATCTTCATTTCTTACAGTCTTGTAAAATATTATGAAGAGCAGTGACTGGTAAAATATCTGCAGCGTGTTTGTGATTATGGAGCCAGCACTCATCAAGGGACTTGGGTGACAGTGCCAGATGCCAGAGTGGCTTACATTGCCATGGTACTTTTGCTCCCCTCTGCTTCTCTACAGAAACAGGGATCTCATAGAAATGACAGTGGGCAGGCTAGTGAAATTAATTCAAATCATCCAGGCAGCCAGACCCTTAGTTTGAGAGAACCACTTGATTAGGTGAGAGATTGTCCTTTAAATACATTTCCCAGACAGATTCCCGGGCTAGGATGAGACAGGAAAATCAGAGAAGGTGGTGTATGAAGAATGCTGCGCAGAGCAACTTTGTGGAGGGGAAGGTGGAAAGTGAAATGTAGCTTATTCCCTCAGGCTCAGAGGCCTGGTAGAAATCTGATTGAGCCTACATGTGGAGCTGGTGCCACATGGCTATCTGTCTCCTGGGGTTCCTCAGCATTTCTTCCCAGTGGTTCCTCTCCGAGCCTGTGACATGTAAGCCCAGGCTGCACTTGCCGAGCACATGGCTCTGCCCAGCACCATCCTGGCTCAGCATTTCCAGATCCACGCTGGAGGCACGCAGGAGCTCATGAGGCACCTCAAACATGATCATCTCGTTCCACACAGGGTTGATCTTGTGTTTTGCACGTTTAGTCTGCTTCTTCTTCAGCTTCAAGGACTGATGCCTCAGTGTCACCTTGACAGAAACATCTGTATAGGAAGTGGAGAGAGACACCATATCAGTGAGCATACAACAAAATGAATGCAGGAGAATTTTAACTTGGTGACATCAAACTCAGAACAAAAGAAACCAATCTTGGGGGGTTTGGTTTTCACTTTTTAGGAATCATTCCAATCACTTTGGCTTTCTAAGCCAAACATGTTTGTTGTTTTTTTTTTTTTTTTTTCTGCCAAACACCACCCTTGCCACTTTCTTCCTAGATTTACATAACAGCAGAAACAATAATCTCTGTTTTCTAGCTATTCTACTCACCATTGCCAAGTAGATCTTTCAGCTGCTTGGAATGGAGATTTTTAGCCTTAATGATCACCACCAGCAGGCGGTTAGCTGCTGGCAGGTAGCTGATAGAGAGCAGAACTTCCCCGTGGCCTGTAGATGGCTCCTGGAAATGGACACACGGGAAGGGTTAATTTTTTATACAGTCTTGGCCATAACATTAGGAAAACTCAACAGTACAAGGTGATGGGCAGAAGGTCACGGACCAACCAAGCTGTCTCCCTGTCTTTGTGCAGATCTTTCCAGTTACACTGGATGAGAATAAACCTGGCAAAGATGTCTGAGAGGGCTCCTCCGCTCCTAAGGCCCCGATCATGTGAGTTCCTGATTTCTTTTGTCGCTGGAAGGTAACTGCTTCCTAACGTCTACTTTTACTGGAATATTTAGTCAGAAGAAGAGGATTTGGGGTTGAACTACATGCAAGTAGTCAGATACTCCTTTTTTGAGAGATGATATAGCTGCTCTATTTATGTCCCCTATTTCCATTAGTGCTTTTCACAATTCACTCTTGAGTTCATCTGCGCTTTTTGCCAGGACCAGGCGTGGACCCTGGCCCACCCTGCCTAGCAGGAGCGCAGGGCTCCCTGGGAGAGAGCAGGCGATGCCCAGGAGTGTGCCACACAGACAGACCCTGGAACTGGAGTTGAACCTTCTCTGACGCCCTTACTCGATATGGGAAAAAAAAAAAAAAAAAAAAAACAGCCAAGCTGAAACCCTCCATGATGACAGCAGAGTCTTTGCCTCTTATTTGTTCCCTCATGCCTGTGAGCAGCTCTCCCTGGCGGGATTTCCTCCAGGGCCCTTGAACCATCAGATGCTCACTTGAGGGGGCCACAGTTTTGGTTTGTTTTTTTTTTTTTTTTCCTTCCCCTTTCCTTTTCTTTTATTCCTTTCTTCCCATTAGTGATGGGCCTCTTAGCCTCCTGACCTTTCTCCCCTTCCTTCCCGCTTGCCCTGGACGAGCAGCCCCGGAGGGGAAGGCGGCGGGGGGTGACCGCGCTGCCCATCGCTCTCCCCCGGGACAGCAGTGCCATTTCCTCCGCAGGAGCCGGCGGGAAGGAGGGAAAGCCCACACGTGCGCCGAGGGGCAAAAGGGGAGCAGTTATTCTCTCGGTGGGTAGGAGCTTGTGACAGAAATCTGGTGCAGTGTGAGGTTAATGACCCAGAAGAGCCCCAGAAAGCCAATGTCGATTCAATAGACTCCCTTTGGACTCCTTAGCATGATTTACACGCATTAGGACAGACAACCCTTCTCCAGGCCATTTCTGTGCTCTGTACTCTTGCTTCTAAGTGAGCCATAAATATTTCAAATTAAGTTTTCACCTGGTTACTTGCAACAGGCAAGGACAGGCCCCTGTATGCTCCGCATGAGCTGATTGACTCTCCAGAAAACATGGCTGTCATCGCTGTCTGGCTTGAATGACTTATTTGTCGTGCACAAATCAGGTGGGAGGCCATTAGCAAGGAAGCCTGAAACTCAATCCCAAATCAGCCCAAGTAAATCTTTTTTTCATGCACTCAGGTAGCAATGAAGAGCTCACAGCCTTCCACTTCAATAAGTCCTGTCCTAAATCTAGGTTAAAAACAACACCTAAAAAGAAACAGAGGTGGATTCAAATGGCTGTATGTCCACTACAAAAGAATAAGTGTTTGTACGCAGAGGGACAATTACAAACACCACCTCAATACAAAACCACTGTTTAGGCAAGTCTAAGCTGTTTTTGTTTATTTATCCCTTCTACATCTCACCAGGTCCCACTCTATAGCTCCTGGCTAGAATCTGGTTCCTGTAGCTCCAGGCACAGATAGATCCAGCGGAGATTGGGGGGATAGGTGGTGGCAGGGCTCTGTAAACGTGCACACGTGCACGCACACACAAAGACATGCATTGTACACACCTGTCACATCTTGTGCTTATGGCTTTCTAGCTCCTAATATTCTGATCAAGCTTTTGACCAGCCTATATCCACATGAAACCAAAACCTACAGTGGCTGGTCTCTGCTGGAGTTTTGTGTGAAGACACCAAGCCAGAGATACTTTTCCTTCCCCCTCCTTCTGGGTTTTGTTTCTTTTTTTTTTTGTTGTTGTTGTTGTTTGTTTGGGGGGTTTTATTTGTGTGTGGGTTTTTTTTGTCTTTGTTTTGTTTTGGTTTGGTTTTTTATTTTTTTTTTTTTGTTGTTTTCTTTTTGTTCTTTTTCCTATTAAATCCATAACCTGCACTTTGTGCTGCAACCCTGAAAATTCACACAACCACCAGAGCTTCAGCTTCCTTTCTGTGCAACAAGGATAAAAAGCATCAGGGGGTCATCAGTGAATTACGTGGTGTGCAGGGCACTATGAAATCACGAAAGAGAAGGTGCTATGCAAAGAGCCACTATCATCACTGTCATTAGCAAAGCACTGGGAGGGAAGGAAGACAAGATAAGGATATCAGTCCACAATATCTAGGCTTTGCATTGCTCACAGCAGTCCGTGAATTCCTGAATACTAATTACATTACCTGGTTAGCTGTAAGCTCTCCTCTGAGCTGGTGTGTGGGGGAGAATTACTGGCAAGGTAGGAATGAAATTTCTGCAGCTTGTGGCTTTTCAAGCAAATGTCAGACTTTAAACAAAGCCCAGTAACTTTGTTCCTGGATGGATGCTGTCAAAAATAGCTCCTCTTTTTTGATCAGCTCTTCCTCGCTCCCTCCCGCTCCGGTTCTCGATGAATGATTCAGGATCTGTATATAAGCTATCCGTGCAATGGTTGGCTCTCTCAGGTCCCAGATGACGCAAATTCAGCTTTCACTGCACATCCTCAGCTCAAACTGGGGCACTGTGCAGCAGTACTGTTAGTGTTAACCTTGTGCTGTCAGCCTGGAGAAGAAATGAATGCCGCCCTGCTTCTGTGCAGGAGGAGCTGGACCAAGGCAGAGTACCCAGTATGTCAGGACTCTATCAGGTGTACTTGAGTGACAACTGACCATTGCTGGGAACAGGCTCTTCCCCGGGTATTGCTTGCAAAGCAGATACTACAGTAGATTAGAGGGGTGGGGGGGCTCCATCTATCTCAGTTTAGGCGTTTAAATCAACGCAGTGGAATAATTTCTTTTGGATATCTCCTTTTACAGCAGCAGACTGGGAACTCATTTCAATTTACATCTATTAGGCAAATGTTTAACCTTGTGCCTGAAGTTTATTAAACTGATTCAGACCACCCATTTGATTCTGCTGCCTCTCGCTCTGCCAGAGGTTTTTTAGAGTGGCCAGCCCTATTAGCATTAAAGTGGCGATCAGATAAATTAGCATCACTGGAAATCAGAAATGCTAACTCTGTATTCTGTGTCTGTGGCCAACTCAGTGGAGAGCCCTCACCCCTGATGGTGACAGGCAACAATTTATTTCAGCATGCTTAGCGATAATGCTGGTGTTGTTTTGCCTTGCTCACCCCATACCACACCAGAGTACAGTAGGTACCTGTTTGTAGCAATGTACCAGTAGCAATAATAGCAGTGCCCTGCTGCCATGTTGTTAAGTGTATTGCTGCTGCTAGAGGAATAATCTAGTTCATGGCAGGGAAAAGGCCCCTGAGGAAATGTGCAAGAGATCAGTGCACACGAAGCATCCCTTGTACCTATTTTGACTACTGTTGTAATGCCTCCTTCCATTTTCCCTGTTTGTGCAGCTGGGAAGGTGTGAGTAAGGAAGGAAAGGTGGGTTTTGACATTTAAGAAAACCAACTTAGTGCAACGAGTGATATTTTGACACCTCCCAGAATGAATAGCACTTCTGGATCGATCCTAGTAAGGATAAGTGGTATTCAGTCGAACATTTAATTCCCAGCAATGTATTTTAACTCCTAGCTTAAGGCTTCCTGAGGGGCCACCGTATGCCCTACCCGTACCCAGCTCTGCAGAGTCCCTCCATCCTACTCTGCAGGCACTCTCTGGCATTTCAGCTCTTGCCACCATGATCCAGCATTGCTAATTTACAGAAACTGATGTAGCTTTTTCTAGACATAGAATTACAGATATCAGTGTCAGATTGTCATGTAATTGAGGGAGGAGGAGAGGGAGTTCTGACACATCTTAATTGCTGGGATTTGTAGATGGAAGGGCTGGGTTGATGGGCCTTTGATTGCTTTCTGAAATGGTTAGCTACAGACCAAGACAGAGCAGAGCTGAGTGACCTGTGCAGTCACACATCACCCTTCTAAACCTGGCTCCAAACAAATAAAGCCACCCACTGACATGTAGCCGTCTTGGAGGAGGGCTTCTCTTAATTAATCATTAGTGTTTCTGGACTGCCAGCACAGTCTGAGTCCGTACCTTCTCTGGGGTCTTTAGCCTTTCCCACTGGGCCAATCCAAAGGACTCCTCCATGTTAGCAAGACTCAGTTTGAGTTCCCCCACAATGCTGTGTCTGGAGAACTTGTCGCAGTTTCTCAGGGTGAGAGTCAGTGTCCCCTCCAGCATCTCCTCCTCCATTAATGGGAATCGCAGGACCTCCTCCCAGATGGTGTGAAGCACCTTCTTCTTCAGCTCTGTCTGGGCCTCAGCGATACCAGACTTGCTCACCAGCGTGCCCAGTATGTAGCAATGGCAACCAGCATCTTGGTCCCCACTCATTCTGCCATGCATAGCTGGAAAAGAAAGACTGATTTTAAGGATCCCTTGTGAAAGTGAACCCTGAAATATGTGTGGATAAACTGCTTATTTCATGAAAGCCATAAAATAAAACAGCTGCATAGACACTGGCCCCTGTTCCTGCTTTCATGGGGCAGACTATGCTGCGAGCCCATGCTGTGGTGTTTTCCTCATGCTGCACAGTGTCCTTGTCCTTCTGCCACTGCTGAAGGATTCTGTCAGTGTTTGGGAGAGCAAGGAAACATGCTCTGTTGAAAGATGTAGAGGAACAATGAGACAAGACACAGCATGTCACGGGGATGGGCAGCTCTCATTTATTTTGACTCTGGCATGCAAAGAAAGCTTCTTACAAAGTCCTTAAAAGCAGGATGATCAGTCACAGACATCAGAGATGGGACAGACCTCCCTCTTGGCACACATCCACCTCTGCAGGCCAGTGTGGGATATGTCTAAGGGCTGTTACATTCTGTTTGTCTGACCTCTGCTAAATAACTCCTTCAGAAGTCACCCCGCAACCCAAAAGATCTGTGTCAAGAGACGTTCATCCCTAATTTTATATCCCCCCGTTACGTTGAAAAGCCTAGAGTCAGAATGGCATTTCACACTCCTCTTCGGCTGCATCAACAGAATTGCGCCGCCTTCTCCGCAACAAGAGGAGCACGCCTCCCTCCAAGGGGCCACGGAACAGCATGGCTTTGTGGGCAAAGCTGAGGTCCTTGCTGAAGCCAGCCCAAGGACAGCTGCTCCCGAGCTGCCAGGCCCCACGGTTCGTAGGGATCTTCTGGCTTCTCGAGGGAGCCGGGTGGGGGAGCGGAGCCAGACCCTGCCCGGGTGGCCGTGGGGCGCCCAGGGAGGAGCGTCGGTGGCGGAGAGCCCGGGTGGCAGCCAGCAGACCCGGGTGTCCACGCTGGAGGGGAGCTGTGGGCTTGCTGCTGGCAGGCGGCCCACAGCAGCAGCTGCCGTTTAGCACCCTTTCAATTCTCGCTTCAGAAGGCGTGATTTGATTAGGTTTCCACAGAGATCCGCACTGCGCATGAATTATTCAGTCAGCTTATTTTATTTTCCCAGAGGAACCGATGATGCTCCAGCCCTGAGCAGGGAAGCTGTTACAGTTGTTAGTTCCCGCTTCAGAGAGTGACACAGAGCCTGGCCGCCTGGCTGGGTGCAGCCAGAACGACCTTCCTCAGTGGCCTCCAAGGTAAGTCTGGTATCTCCAGCTCAGCCTTTGACTCGAGGAAGAGGCAGTAGGGACTGGGTCAAGTTGAAGAATGGAAGTTACAGAGATGAAGGAGATAGCAAACCCCTTCCCCCAAAGGAAAAAATAAAACTAAGAGGTTGCTTTGTACCATGTCTGGGACTGGGGGGAGCCCATCCTGGCTCTTGACTTCTGCTTTTGGGCTGTGCAAACAATTGTTCCCAAGCCATGCCCTGCACGCTCACCTCAAGCAGTGACATTGCCAGCCATTTCTATTCTGCAAGACCAGAACGAGTGAAACATCCAGGAGTCCGGGGGACATGTTGATTTTAAGGTAGGAGGGCAACTCTATAAAATCAACAAGTGTCTTGTACCCTCCGGGTGGGGAATCGCCAGTGGCAGATCTCTGTCCCTTACCTTCCAGAAGGGCCACACGCAGCTCGGCTTTTTGTTGATCATACTCAAGGGAGTAGCGCAGCTCAGGGGCCTGGTTACAGCTGGCTGCCCTCTCAGGGTTCAAGCGCTCTGTGACACACACGTCCTTTACCACACCTGGAACTGAAATAACCCCTTTAGCAAGCAGGTCTTTACCTTCCAAGGAGAACAAATCCACCCCGTTGTGACTCAACTTTTCTAAACGTCTTACTATTCCTGCACCTTGTATGCAGGAGTATAGTTTATGGTCCTTCTTCCTCCATCAACATATCTCCTTTTTGTTCTGTTTCCTCACACTTTCAGCTCTTTCTACAACACTTGGACAAACCTTCTGCTCTCTACTACCTTGTGCTCTAAGGTGGTTCACACACTTGCTCTTCCATCTTGTGCCTAGGCCAAGGTGTCCAAACTACACTCATTACTTGCTATATAGTTTTTAATTGTTTTAAACTCACATTGGTGAATTAAATCTTGTGTTCTTTGTCATGAGAACTCGAGTCTGCTTTTGAGCTGCCATGCAACTCTGCCTTAGTTCAGACCTCTCTAAATGTTTTTAAGTTTTAACAATACAGTCTTTGTCATGCAAAGGACATCTATTTCCATAGCACTTGACCAGGTTGAAGATCATGAGCTTGGGGAGCTGTGAGGCAGTTTCTCCATGTGTGATTTTGAAGTGGAGTACATATTTCATACTGAAATAAAGCAAGTTGCAAGACTAAAAGGAAAGCCACAGCTTTTTGTCATCAAAAACGGTTATCTGCAAGGTCAGTTTTGATTCATGCAGAAAACAATAGTGGGACTAGTCCTTCTAAAAATCTCAGCCATAGTCCAGACCAGTTCAATGTGGCACCAAAAGGAGAATTCAACAATCCTTGATTCATTTTAGCAGCACTTGAATTATGAAATCAGACACAGCAGGAAGCAAACTTGCTTGTATCATTAGCAGTGTGGAGAGGCTCTTACACCAACACATTTATATAAAGCTTTAGCCTACAAGCAGCCATCATCCTTCAGCCTCTCCACCCTATAATCTTCTCCCTGACACCTAAGGATGTGGCTCAGACAGTCTCTTCCTCCAATGCAGCTGCTTCCCATGGTACTTTCTTTTCCGTACTCACTAGTCTCAGGGTGGAGGGATGAATGTAGCAATCGTCCTCCCAGAAGGACAAAAGTATAATCTCAAACAATACTAAAAAACTAAAAAGAGATTTCTTAAAAATAAAATTGTGACAGATAGCATGGTGTCTCTGGCAAATCTTCAAGAAGGTTTTATTAATATGGTAACCCTAAGAGTCAATTATCCTGTTAAAAGACAGCTGTGAAGGTAAAAATCAGTATGGAAGCAACCCAGACACGCTTCCAGATGTGTATAATTAATATTGCATTTTCTCTCAGGCTCCAGGAATCTTATGTTCCAGGCTTTGGCATGTTACCCTTTGGGCTGGCTGAAAAACAAGAATTCTGCTTGGCAAAAATGCCTGAGGTGTCAGCCTTTGGTTTCACTGCGCATTACAACAAGACAAGACCACCTCACTAAACCAGTGTTAAAAAAGCAGCAGAGAAAATAAAGTAGAATCTTGAATGCTGCTGCTGATGTCCCTGACAAGGAGAGCTGCCGGACAGCTAGCATTTGTCATGGAGGAGATACTCTGCCTAGTTTTGGCCAAGTATTTCACCCATAATCTGGCAACTGCTATCAGTAAAACTACACTAAATACATGTTTTTCTACAAAATGTCTGCTTCCAGTAAGCCAGATTCTTCAACACAAAAGAAGTTTAGGTAAAAAGTCACAATTACAGCTTTATTATCTGAATGTCCTGATGACCTCCATGACTACTTTTTATTAAGCACATGCATTGAAGACCGACCTCACTTACAATGGTCATGATAGGAGAGCGAAAAGCACCCCATGGCTTCATTTTCATATTTATTTCTCAAACTATGATCACATTACGCTCAGAAGTAGTATAGAACTACAACCAGAAAAGCAATTGTTACTCTGAAGAATAAAAGCTCCTACCGTTTTGAGGGAGAACAAACAGCTCTTCATTGACTTGTATCTTCATCCTGTTCTCATCCAAACCAGTGTGTTTTCCAGTAGCTGGCTCTTCTGTTGTCTTCAGGGAGTACTGCGTGTAGTTAACAATTTCAGGTGAAGTTACTACTGGTTTGGGGCCATAAATGTCGGGAAACTTCAGGAGTGCTCGAGGCTGGACTGGCTCTGCAGTTTTCTTAACATTGAACTGAAAATTAAAACCTTGTTTATTACTTTGCACTAATTAGACTAATTCTTCCAATTCTCTCAGTGTTAAATGATCTGAGACAAAGGGAGGAAAGACGGTGCCTCTGGTCATTGTTTCTTGGGTTGTAGAAGCCACTGCCTACATGTCCAGAGATTTTCTTGCCAAATACCCTTCTATTTGGTGCATGTCTTTTCAGATTTACCTCCCTACAGATGTTTGGGTGCAGCAAGGAAAAGATATGTTCTTATTGTTTGATTATTCCTCAGTTCTCACAGCAGTTAATCCTTCTTTCATAAGTCTGTCTTTTCTCTTAGCACATAAATCAAACATGAAGTTCCTTTTGCTGCGATTCAGGATGGTATTTTTTACCCTAATGTCTGACGTCAAATCCAAGATCAAGGGGCTATAGCCACCCGCAGATTTCAGAACATTTACCCGAGTGTGTAGCAAGCATTAGAAAGGCAAAGGCATGGATCCTACAGTCACTTGGAGCAAGTACGACCATGGTGTACCAAGACAAAGGAGAACTGGTTAAGCAAATGAGCCCTGCAATGGCATTCCAAGAGTAGCTGATTCAGTGGTCATCCCAGCCTCTTGGACTGTCTCTCGGTTCTGTGGACCGGAGCCTCACCTGAGCCTAAGACACACATTTCTCCTTTATTATTCCAGGATTGAAATTTGGATTTATGTCAGTGTTAGTTCTTATCATTTCAATTCCCTGTTGAACTATGCACGTGGAATGAGCCGAAGAACCTGAAAGACCGAGTAGTGCTTAGGCAGCCTAAGGAAAGGTTGTCACAGTGGCATTACTGTTCTCCCAAAACAATGAAAAACATTTTAGTGGGATGTAACAGTCCTCTTTTCCTTATGTCCCAAGAAAGAATCCTGTCTGCTCACAACTGAACCCATTCCAGATTCATTTATATTTGGATTCATCAACAGAAAAGAACAAAAGCTGACTAACAAATGACCCTGACCCTTGCAAATGATTTTATTAATGTTTCCAAAACGCAAAAGACAAAAAGCAGAAGTAAAACTCCCATTTTGGTTGGTAATTGTGCAGTGGGATTCTCTCCAATCCTGCTGCCTGCCAACCTATTCTGTGTTTAGATCAAGGGTGAGCCAGAAAATGTTCATAACTGTAATTAAAGTTTTTCATTAGTCTCATTGTTTCCTACTATAATGAATGTAGATGATGCCCTGAAGCACTTGTCGGTGTTGGGACTTTGCGGTCCCAGTTCACAAGTCCCGAGGGAGCACACCTATTCCTCAGAAAATAGAGCTGAAGAAAAAGCACAGTCTTGGACTTTAGCTCTCTAGTCGTCCTCTGCTTATGAAGATCATAGCACTGTGGTTACATGCACTTGGCAGTGGTAAAGAACTAATTAGGTCAGCAACTCCATCTTTCTCAGGGCAGACAGCGCATCAGTGTTTAGGAAGTCCACTATGAAACCTAGCATTTTGTCTGCTCTAATTTTAAGGGCTCTGACAGGGAAGTGGGATGAGGAAGACAGACGTCACCGTGTGCCGTCCCCACCTAGCATTCAGCTGAGTTTAGATATTATGTAAGTCATACGGCGCGGGTCTGTGAGTGAGATCCCTCTTTTAGAGATGTGAACCTCACCGGTCCTAAAATACATGGGAAATTCGAAGTTACTCATCCAAACCTTAAATGCAGTTTTCCGTTCTCCTAAAATTAAAGCAGACCAGCCGAGCAAAATATGTTAGGAATCCCTAGAGCACAGCTTGAGAAACCAGGTCGCTTTTGTTCCGCAGAGGCGCGCGCCCGGTGCCCGCCGTGGTGGCCAGGCTCTGCCACGCTTCCTCCCGTGTGGCCGCCGTCCTGCCCGTCCCTGCCCGTCCCGCCGGAGCACGAGGCCTGCCCTGCTCTGTGCTGACAGCACGTGAAGCGCTCCGGGGTCCTGCGGGATGAAAAACACCATACGAACGGGAGGCATTGTTCGTACGGTTTTTTCTTCCACTCGCTGAAAACCAGACATCCCGGCAGGAAATCCATCAGCACGCAGCAACAAAGAGCTCCACTGGGTCTAAATATTCCTCTTGTCTGTCTGCTCTGCAGAATTAGAGATGAGAGACATATGCAAGCACAGTGGGACTAGCCCACCCCCTTTCCAACTGCATCTGCCTCTGTTTATTATTTTTGCTGCCAGCTCTGTTCCCAAGTGCTGTCTGCTAATCTAGTTCCATAGCGGTGCCCTGTGGAAGTTCCCTTTGCAAATCAGCAGCAGTATCTTAAGTACAGAGATGAGCAGAATAATTCAGATAGATCTGCATTAAAAGTGTGAGAGCAAAGAAACCAAAAGGAGCAAGGAGGCTGCCACTGACCCTTCTGGGTCCCTGCCCAGTGTCACGCAAACAGTGCACCAGATTGTTGCCATTGCTGGATGTGCTTAAGCATCTTCATTCTGTATACTTTGCTGAGACTTTGCAAATTTAGAGCAGTTTTTAATTGTCCTGTAAATGTATCTCTGTGTTCGAACTCCTCCTCTTCATATATGCAGGGCATGTCCATGGGGAGTCTCTGTCTATAGCAAATACAAGCATCACTGTCATGGGAGAGATGCCAAGTGAATAAAATGCAGTCTTGCTTCATCTTTCTTTTGTCATCTCTGTTTATCAGAATCAGTGGCCCTGACAGGCTTCAATAATTAAGTGTGTCAAGCGCTGACTAGAACATACAGTGTATTCATGTAGTCAGAAAAAAGCCCTGACAGGACAATTTATAAACACAGACATAGATAATAAAACTTTACAAGCTCAGAACTCAATTTGAGGTTCATTCCTTCAAGGTATATAGACTGATTCTGAATCAGTGACAGCACAGGAGAATGCATGTGCCTGGTGAGAAAACTATTTTAACTGGAAAGAATTGTTAAACATACGGAATATGCAAACTAAGAACATTTTGCACTTTCTGTGACAGAATGTTCATTCAGCTGCTATAATTTGGCCAGATTTCTTTAAAAAAAAAAAAATCAAAACCAAAACAGTAACATTAGAAATAATACTCCTAATTAGAAAGTTTACAATGATGAAAGAATATAATCACTCGGGTAATAGTGATACACTGAGGGCAGGTTGAATAATCTGATCCCCTGTTGGTCAAGTGCTGGATTAATTTAGGGCAAAACTTGATGAATATAGAAATATGGTAAGGACCATAGCCTAATAGCTGCTGGGTACTGGAGGCTTAATTGGACTTCATAGTGACTTAGTGCTTCTTTCAGTCGTGCAAGCAGGATGACATAGGGGAGGACAAGTTCCAAGATGGATTAGCACTTTCCCAAGATGTTTCCCAAAAGGCTGTGTAAAAGAAAGATGTCTGGTCCAAGGATGGAGTTAAAGATTTGAGAGGTTTCTGAGCTAGAAGATTGCCACAACAAAAAGTCTCTTGTATGAAGAGACTGACGCTAAAGTTATCTGTGGGTAGTGTTGTTCCAGACAACAGCTAGAAAACATGTTATGCAAAGTGATTTGACTGTCAAAGTTACACATTTCTCATTCATTTTAACAGTAAACTTGGAAAATCTCAGCATTATTGTACAAACTTATGTACAGGAGTTGGCAAATACCCTGTATGCGTTAGAAGTTAGAAAAGCCAAGAAAGGAGCCTGGAAAAGAAATGACAAAGCTATCAAACAGAATAGCAGGTGAAATTCATCCTAGGAAAATGCAAACAGGTACTTGAAGTTATTCACTGTGCTCATGGATGAATGCTCAGAATTAACAGCAATCTCTTGAGAAGTTCTAAATTCAGTGCAGATGTGCACCGACGGTCAGTGGAGCCATCCTCCCATCCCCCAGCAACCAGAAGCTCTGGTAATGCAATTCTGTGCATCTACACCAAATCTTACAATGCAATTAGTAGATTTGATCATCTTTCCTTAGAACAAGCTGCAACAGAAGCATGAGGATGCCAGGGCTCTTTTCTACTAAGAACCTAAGGGTGATAGCCAGAGAGAGAGTGAATATGTAATTATAAACATTACAGGGAATTTCAATTAGGACTCCTTCTACACTCTTTAAGAATACAAAAATAATAGGTAGATCAGATAATTAAAAGGCAAACAAAGACTGTTATAAAATGGGTCACCGGCCTTTGGAATTGGCTGCTGTGGCATTACGTTTGGTTGAATGGATAGATGAAAGTGAAAAGAACGTAGGCACGTGCAAACGTCAAGAGCAACAGTCAACAAGTAAGACTTTCAGAGACTGACCAGTGCTACAGCTCATGCTAAAGACCATAGTCAGTCAAGGAAATCAGCCAAACATTTCCCTTTGAAGGAGAGCTTACCATTAATGAGTATATTAGAAGGGTCTTACGCTCTCTCTTGCACTGATCTTGCAGAACTAAACCAGGGGGTTTGGACTCTAACAAGAAAGACCACATACAGATGCCTGACATTATCCATACTCCACATTGCTCTTATAGTAAGTGAAAAAGCAATTCACAGTGTGATGAGATTGTCCAGTCATCACACTCTAGATCCTCACTTGAATTTTATTATCATTTCAGTGCTTTGTTCTAACTTCACACGTAATTAATCCCCTCAGTTTGAAGGAGGAGGAGGGAAGGTTTTCACAAGAAACCAGCTGTTGACAGGGAACTATCCTGCAGTAATTGTAAGATATTGTGAATAGAGTTAGAGAAATAGCTGCTATAGGAGATCCCAGAAGGAGTCATCTCCTCTTTACAGTGCTGCATGCCACCTGGTAAAGTCCAGTCTTCTCAGGAAATGATTTCCCTTGTGATCCAGCTTGACAGCTAAGCAGCATTTCCAGTCCTCATCCCCTATATTTTCCATTCACAGCTTTCTCTTTGGCAATGTGGCAGCTGTCTCCTGCTCTGGTAATTCCGTGGGTCACACAGCCCATCTCTGTTTTTCCCTCACTCCTCCTCCCATTAACGTGCTGTTACATCCTGAACACAGTAAGTAGATAAATAGGCAGCATAAATCCCATGCTGAGTAGCCTAACAGAGAAGTTGCATTCCCACCCTCTGCATTTAAAGAAAAATCACAGAGTAAATTAGAGACCGTGTCTTACTTGCTGGACTGGCTGAAGCACACTGGGCTTAGTGTTTTCCGTGTCCTCCTCTTGGTCCGTTTCTGAGAGTCCTTTCCCAGGTTGCTTGCATTTGCAGAAGCAGGTGAGACCGCAGAGGGCAAGGATGCTAGTTGCAGTCCCCAAGGTAGCCCCCAGGGCTATAACTGGGGCAGATAAAACCATTATCCTGCGCTGCACAGCAACAGAAAGCACAGAAACCCTGTGTCTCCTTCTCCTCCCTGGGAGGGCAGCTCTTGTGCATCCACTCGGATTTCTAGCCTGGCTTCATTCTCCTTGGGAGTCTGAAAACAATTCTCTTGTGCAACAAGGAAAAGGGACCAATCTAGAGACAGAGATAAATCATCCCACCTTTGCTAGGCAACAAGGCTACCTTTCTATCCTGATGATGAAGTTTCTGCTCCAGGTCAGGTAGAGGAAATAGTGATTGTGGTGCCTGCAATCTCCATGTAGCTGCAAACAGGCAGTTTTCATTGAAGCCTGTTCTCCAGCTCCACTGGGAAAAGTCTGATGTGTGATAGAGAGGAAAGACGTCAGCAGAAGGGGCTGGGCCTTGCTAGCTAACTCACAGAAAGTGCATCCAAATGTTTGATCAGCTCTCTAGCAATATTTCTGAGGGCTAGCTTGCTAATTTGCTCAAGAGGTTTAATTTTTTCTGTCTAAAGGCAAAAGGTGCTGGCCTGAGAAGCCCTGTTACGATAGCATTGCACAGTAACGCTAGAGACAGAGTAAAGCCTGTGTCAGGGAAAACCTTCTCATCCTTCAGAGGCTGGGGAACAAACATGTGCAAGAATCAAGCACTGTCCCACACCTCCCCAGCTTCCCGCCAAAGCACAGGGTCTGAACCTTTCGGGGCTGCTTTCTGTAGCATCAATGCAGGGCACCACTTCTATTTAAAAAGAGAGCAGAAATCCTATCAAACGAGACACACCGGCGCATAAGCTGCTTCCTCTGGAGAGGAGGAGAGAGCAAACAACATATGCTATGTATTAGTCACACTGCTTACTACACCGGTGGCAGGCAGCAGGCTGGTGAGCCCAGTACATGAGCCTACATGAATAGACCTGATGGGCTACATGTCCGTCTCGGTTGTCTCTTGAGGTGATGGAGTGGTTAACTTTCTCTGACTCATTTATTTTTGCCTTATTTCTCAAACTGACCAACTTGGGGAAGAGGAGAATAAATGTCATCTTTTCATGTGTTTCTTGTGACACGTACAGCCATTTTCTGTGTACTTCACAAGGAGTACCTACTGGCCAGGAGATGATTATAATTCTGGGTCACTATATATCTGGGCCATAGTGGAACTAGTAAGCAAGAAGCAAAATATTCCTTATAAGGCTCTGGAAAAAAATACCCAGTTCTACTGGGAATTTCTTTGTACTTCTATTTTGGAATACTGTTGGTAACTGTAGATCGGGAAAAAAATGAACTACGTACACAGAAATGTTTAGAAATGCAGGGGGGTTTTGATCTTTCTGCAGCTCAGGTTTTGCTATGGATTTTTCTTGACATTTTTTTTGATGTTTCACATCTTATTCATTACGACTCACTCAGCCTTTGTTCTATTATAGATGACATGTTCACCTCTCTGGCACAAAGCTTCCATCACACATCCGACTCTCAGTTAAATTTTTGAAAATTCCTCTGTAACACTGCGGCATCCTTATGGATGCAGTGCACGTTCCATCATCTTGCCTTCTCCTCACCCTACCAGGCTTGACAGACACGCGTCTCACCTCACACTTCCAACCTTCCCGACCCCTCATGGAGAAGAGAATCACGATAGACCCTGTAAACAGAGACAATCCCCCAACACACACTGCTGAGCCCACGGAATGTGGCCTTTCAGCTCAGCCCACAGAAGGAAAACTCCGAGATTTGTCTTCTGCCTATACAAGAACTTAAAAGTGGCTGCACCAAGCTGGGCCACTGGCACATCTCTCACTGTGCTCAAGAGTGGGAAGAATATCTCATAGAGGGGATTGAGAAATCTGACTAAACATTGCCTTTGCTTCTTGCTCTATGTGGCTCAGGACCTTCCAAAGCCTTGAGCAGCATCCTTGTGCCTACTTCTGCTGAGCTGAACTTTCTCTGCCACAGGTAGACTGTTGCAAACCGGTTGCTGATTTAGGACCTAACGACTACTTCATTCAACCTGTAGTTGAACAGGTAACATTGTAATCATAGGGCCACAAGGTCTCATCTTGAATTTGAAGAATGCACCTTATTGTTACAGACTTCCACCACCACTCAAGAGAAGTAGAAGAGAGGAGAGTCTGAAAGAAGACAAAAGGGTGGACACACTGTTTAGATGCCGTTGGTTTCTTCCACAGGATGGGTTCTTCCTCAAGGTGCTAATGAAATCTTGACACAGCTAGATCAGAGGCCCCTGAGATTTGGAAACCATATGAGAAGGAAGAAGGTGCTGATAAGGTTAGAGTGCACTGATAGAGATTCGGGGTGGAAAGGCATTCGGTCCATCCATGAGATGCAATCTTCATGTGTTTTCTACAAGCTGTTCTGAGAATTATATAAAGACTGCTTACAACAGGCTGTGGAGGGAAGGCCACATAAAAATCTCTCTGCAAGACAATAATTTAACAGTATACCTCTCCAAGATGTTTTCTCGTTACTCATATATGAAGATTAGGGTTTTCTTGCCAGAAATTGTATATGCTGTGAAAGGTAAGTTGTACAGAATCATAATCAAACATCATACGTAAATAATAATAGCCAGGCAGCAGCCTTTTACTGCTATTGCTAGGAAAACAAAACAGCTCTTGCTAAACATTGAATATTAGCCGTGTGTGAGCTTCTACAAGCGACAGGCCAAAGACTGTGAAATTTTGTGTGTGCACTGATGCACGTAACTGGTACAGATACATAATTTAACTGTAGCTTTGGCACATACTGTCACTGCATCTATCATGGTTGCTTATTTTTAACACATCCTGTTCTAAAAAAAACCTGGATCATAAATGTATTTCAAAGTCAGCTTTTAGACTTGCTTGTTTTAACACCCAATAATAAAACTGCTGATTTTTCCTTTAAAGCAGTATTAGGCTAAAATGGGGCCAGGCTTTCTAACTGGCCATTCACACTGATATTGTCCAGAAACACATAGTTTTTTTATCTGTCACATCTGCCATTGGAAAGAGGCTTGCCAAGGCAGAAAGATGAAAGCCTGTTTTTGCAAGCTAAACTTTATGGGCAGGTTCAGGCCTGACAACATATTTTACAGTCACTCTATCCGCATATTTTCTCCTGATTCTGCGACAAGACATGTGTAAGAATGATAAAACCATATACATGGTTTTCAACTCGTGATACTTCAAACACAAATATGGTGTGGAGACAAAATATAAGTCACTGGACAACCTTTGGTGCCTATAGAATCTTTGTTCCTGCTGTGAACTTTTCCACTGATATTTTGGGCCTTTCCATCCATTGGCTGTACAAAAGAGGCTTTCTCTGAATGAAGAATTGGTACTACAGATCACACGGAGAATTAGAAGAGCCTTTGTATTGCCTGGATGTAGTTCAAGCCTTACCAGAAAAAAAACCTTTAATGCAATTGCCAGCCACTTGAATAAGCAGGTCAGGGATTTGCAACTTTTACTCTGGCATTAGAAGACACAAATTAAAGTTCCAGAATCCCTCACTATCACAAGGAAAAGCTGACATACATCTGAATGAAAGGCGGTTGCAGACTACACTCCCTGACTCAGCCTACTCTGTCAGGGTGTTTGTCAGAGATACTCTGATTCTCACTGAGGCATTTCACCAGGCAGAAGTGTGAGTTAACAGACGGAAATGGGAAAGAGAGGCTTGGGTTTTGTTTTTTTTTTTTTTTTTTTTTTTTTTTTCAGGGAAATCCTTGTAACAGTCAGATTTAGCCTGAAGGTGCAAGCTCATGTTTTCACTTGTATTGACTTGTTATGAGCTTCTGAGATTCTGTGCTACAGAAACGGGACAGTTTGAACAGGATCGTGGTCTAAAATAGCTTTCTAGATCATAGCAAGGTGTTCACACCACCCAACTTTGGGCACTGAAATAGCCAGTTAATGACAGAAGACCACATATGGCTGCCATGAATTTCTTTAACAAGGAGATGAAGCATGATGAAAACAAAAGTAAAAGTAAAAGGCTTGTGCTTACAGTGACTACATCTACCTCCTTATGCTTTTGTATGCTGTTGCCTCAGGTTGCAAATGCTTTAAGAAAGGGATTTTGTCTTCCTCTAAGTGGTGGAGTATTCCTCCACTGAATTACAGACCACTGAAATAATCTGTTGCAGTGCTATTAAGATGAAACAGTTATCTCTTCATATGCTTATGCAAAAAAAAAAAAAAAAAAAAAAAAAAAAAAAAGATTTGTGAGAGGAATGTGGGCTTGGCCCCTCCTTCACTGTCACTGAAACAAACCTGTAGATATAAATCAAGTAAATTAAGTAATTAAGAGAAAAACAAAGAATCGTTTTCTAAAAGGGAGGTATGCAATGTTCAACCTCAAGAAAATGAGCTTCAAGCTGTGGAGCTTCAGCTGGTGTTAATGGATATAGAGCACCTGAAACCTCCAGACTCACAGGAGTACCTGCCAGCTGCCTGTGTAACACTTGGCTGCCCTCGGGATGATGATAAGGATTTATCAGGCAAAAGGCTACAGCTAGTTGCATCCATGCAGTGTAGGGCTCATGGTAAATGATTCTGTGGGATTCGGGAGATCTGTGGAAAAAATCTGGCTGTGTACCTATTGCAGGAGGCTGCCACGTACCCTGTCACCAGCAACCACTGGAAGGCAGTGGATTAGAGTGTGGGTCAAGGAGGTCAGTCTGTTTATCGATGAAGAGGCTAAAGGGTGACTCGGTCAAAATCCTTAAGTAGTCAGCTGGGGAACAAATCTTTGCTGAGAGAGGTTCTCTTCTGCCAAGCAAACAGCGCGTTACCAGGAGCTGCTGGCCAGAAGCAGATGCCAGACAAACTCAGAGTAGAAAAACGTTGCAGATTTCCAACAATGGGTATAATTTTGGTGAGAGAAATTTCTAAAGGGTTGTGGAGAGTTCTCCATCATGGGTAGTTTTGAAATCAAGACTAGTGTTGTGCAACTTGTTTTTATGGGACACACCAATGTGGTGTCCCTTGTTGTTTCATGTTTACATAAGGCGCACTTGGGATGTTATAAGAGTATTAATGTGTGGGACCATTTTTCAAAAAAACCACAATTCATCTGAGAGCACCAAAGGGCCGTCTGCAAAGAGAAAGGCAGCTGTGCTTGAGAAAGTCACATCGCACCACAAAGCCCAGCAGAAAAACATCCGTGCTTCACCAGGTGAACTGCTTTAGCTGGAGGTCTGAGCACCTCAGTAATGGAGATTCAGAAATAAAATGTCAGCTCCAGCCCAGGACAGACCTGGGTGAAAGAAAGAAAAATAAATCGCTGCAAATGCAACTGAACGGGAAGTGTTGTTCAGCAAAGCGGCAAGCGCAAGGTTAAGCACGCTGCC